AATGCAGTGGCGTAGCGAGGGTGTTTGGCGCCCGGGGACAAGATTCGCGCCCGGGGACAAGATCCATTTTTAGCGCCCCTTTTTCTTTTTTTCAACTCTCAAACCCATTATTTTCATCAATAAAATATTATCAAAGCACATTTTGGCGCCCCTAACTAGCTGGCGCCCGGGGACATCTGTCCCCCCCCTAACCCCACCACGCTACGCCTCTGCCAAAATGCATTCCTATATTTTGAATTTATCAAAAATTGCGGGTGAGGGGTTAACCTCTTAGATAGGAACAAAAGAATACCCTAAGGCAGAGGTTCCCAACCTCCGTTAAGCGCATTCCTGTGGGGACTGCTTGGGGCTAAGCAAAAATTATTTTGATAATTGTGGGAAACGGTGAAAGTTTGTTGTTTTTTACATTCATTGCTTTAAGATAATCTATATTTCAATATAAGCCTAATCAAAGAGTACATAATTTTTTTTAAAAGGTGGGTAGCCCAGCTCTAAAAGGTACCACGAATTAAATTAAGTTTGTGTTCAGCGAGGGGGGGCGGAGTTACAGGTCGTAATTATGCCCAAATTTGGCGCTGATAGATGTACTGCCCTAAGACCTTGTGGGGCAAGATTTTTTGCCACCCCTTCCACGATAACAAATCTGCAGTTTGCCGAAAAGTTTGCTCCTCCACAAAAAGGGGGAGGGGGGAGGGGAATAATGCTGGTGGTGAATCGCCCCTTCCGCCCCACCCTACGCCCGCCCCGAACATCTGAATAACGAACACCCCCATCCGGAACTAAATTTCTGAAAGAAACTCTGCAAGCAATAAGCACGTGCAGACTTGACCAAGGTCAAGGTCCATGGAGGGGGAGTGGGCTTTGGCTTCCACCACTTTAATAGACGCCCCTGATTTACACTTAAGTTTAGGCTAGACAATTTTTTTCTTCAAGGGCAAATTAATAATCAATAGATATATGATCATAGAACAGACTGATAATTATTGAATGTATTGTAGCTATATTAGGTCATCTTTATTTTTAAAATGTCGTAACGATGGGAGCTTGTCAGTGGTGTTCCATGGGAGGAAGCAGCTGCTCGTTGTATGAAAATTCTACAGGTAGATACAGAACAAATATAATAAATTAATGCAAAAATGCAGTGGCGTAGCTAGAGTACTTGCCGCCCTGGATTGGTCAAGATTTTTCCACCCTCTATTTCCACGAAAAAGCTCTGCAGTAGGCCGAAAACTCCGTCTCTCCATAAAAAAAAATGTACGGCCACTTCATATTATATGCCATTGCAACGAAAATGTCAGCCAAAATAATTTTTTTCTTAATAAAAATAAATGCAATGCACAAGTATTTCATTGTCGTTGAATCGTGCGTATAATTCAGGTAAGAGGAGATGCATACACACAGTGATTAGTTCAGAAATCACTTCAGAATTTTCGGGGGGGGGGGAGTTGATTTATTGTTGGACATATTTTTGCTCCGGGGGGGGGGCACTTGGCTTTCCCCGAGGGTAGTGCCCGCCCCGAGATATAGCTGAAAGAAACCCTGCATACACGTATGTCTTTGGTCGCCTTCTAAAAGCTTATGGAACGCCACGGCTGGCTTTGAATTTATCTACCACCTCCTTAGAGTTTAGTTTGAACGAAACTGTTCACTTTTAAAATAGAGCTCTTCTGTAATAAAGAAATTTAAGTGTTATTCGTATTTGTTTACAGGAAATTTGTGCTGGTAAACATTGTGATTGTATGATCCTGAGCTCTTATTCAGTAGCAAAAACTATTGTACCAACGTTTGGTAATTATATAACATATAAATATATACTTAGGAAATTTGGTATTTATCACACCTGCCTTACTTATTTGTTAGTTTTGTTTTTTAATATTTAAATTTGGGACGGGTAATCTTCTTGCGGTTTTTTTTATTAAAGTATTTTTTGAAGTAAAAGTTAAATGCCATCTTTTTGTTGGAATACAACAAAATTTACGAGATAAAAAAGTACATTTTATGGATCATTTGTCTTTTCATTGTGGTAAATCAAGGATAACTATCATAACTCTTCTGTCTCTAAAGATACGTTATAAAAGTACCCAATTGGATGTATCTTGTTGTATTTATATTTTATTTTGTAATATATAGTTATAGGGAACTCGGCTAAAAGGAAGATAGGATGCCAAGACGTCTTTTGCATGTTTGTTAAAGTTGCCATGAATTTGGGTTCAGGTTAGGTTTAGGGATACATTTTAGGGTTCAGGTTAGGTTTAAGGATACATTTAGGGTTCAGGTTAGGTTTAAGGATACATTTTAGGGTTCAGGTTAGGTTTAGGGATACATTTACTTAGATTTAGTGACAGAATTAACTGGTCTTGTCAACCAAAATGGCAGCCAATCATGGCATCCTGTCTTCCAATTTAGCGGGAACTCTCATACTTGACATACTTAGCTAGTTTACAAGCCACATTGCAATTGTTACATTCCATTTTGTTCTTCAAAGGAGAGCGCCTTGCGAGAAATTCCATAGTTGTATTATTATTAACGTTGTATGTTGCCTCACAAAGTGAGCGTATAAAACAAATGCTGCATCATTTAAAATTTCCTTTGGATCACCAATTTGAATTATTGTTTCTTCGTCGTTCTGCCGTTTTGAACAAAGTGATCCCACTACCAGCGATACCGCAAAATGAGTCTGTCTTATTATATATAATCACAAGCCCTCGCCCTCATTTTACTCAGGGCAAATCAGTCAACATAAGTGCATTTGCATACAAAAAAAGGGGATGGGTGCTCAAATTAGAGCTGACCAATCATGGATAACGTATTTGCCGCCATCAGTATAAGATGACTATCAATAAATGACCCCACGCTATCATTACGATTTCCCCCATTTCTGCAAGTCACAAATATTTTTTTTTTAAAGTGGACACGTGATCACACATTGGCACAAATTCGTGGACCCCGCCCCCATCCTATTTCATCCTGTTTGTGAACATGCTTCTAGGTGATCAAAAATCTGGCAACAGGGAGAAATAATACCAAACAAATGGAGCTATGGAAGGTTGAGGGATGTTCAAAGATGCTTTAGAAATAAAATAAAATGAAAATAAACGCTGTATAATTCAGTATTAGTTAACTATCACTGTCTGGGTTTAATTTATTGAGGAATACATATAAGTTTACATTTGATACTACAAAATTCGATCAGAAATAATGTACGCCCCTGAACTGCAAGATTACCAAATTTGGTACATTTAAAGGTAAATGCAGACAATTGGTGCCATGACGTATCACACGGATAATTTTTATAATTCACTGTCACTAAACCTAACCTGAACCCTAAATGTATCCCTAAACTAGGTAGTTGGGTAAAATTTTCAAATTGAATGAATTAAGAAATGAACACATCTGTAAGATAGCCCTTTTTAAATGAAGTAAGGATATGTTTTCATTTTTCATGTAGCCCTTTTGGTTAAAAAGTTATGATTTTTTTTTTGTGAATAAAAAATAACTTTTTTTACATAGGGATTTGTGACCACTTTTTTCAAAAAAATTTTACGAAAAGGCTCATAACTTTATAGCAGAGTCGACAAATAATATGAAACTTTCCAGAATTGTTCATCATCGTATTATCAACATCTTTGTTGCTTTAAAAACTAAAAAAATTAAATAGAATATTTTTAAAATATTTTTTAATGTCATTAAAAAAATTCCACAAAAAAAAAATAAAAAAAATTATTTTTAAAAATTAAGACCAAACGTAATTTATTTTATAACAGGAAATATAATAGAGGCAATTTTACAATAAAAATTATGATTTAATATGAAAGGGACCAATATCTGATAAAACATTAGTTAATATGTCTACTATTTTATAGATATTACAATAAAACCTAATATTAATTAAGATGGAACTTGATTGATTTAAGAATTATAAAATGTATTGAGCTTTCTAATCTGTCAACTAGTCATATATAATACTGTTTCCGATTTATTACTTTAGTTTTCCGCCATTTTTTTTTTTTTTTAATTTTTTTTTCAGCTTTAGAAACCCATTATGGTAAAAAATAACAATGTTTTTGTGGACTTAGAGACTTGAAATTTTACATGGTCATTTTTAATACAATTTTACAGGTACACCAGGTCGATTTGAAATGGGACAACGAATAGTTTTCAAAATATTAATAAATTAGACTTGGCTGCTATCTCACATTTTTTTTTATTTACGACATACTGATTTTACTGAAAACAAAATGGATGTCGTTAAAGCCCGTTCATTAACGTAACTAGAACAGTAATTTGTTTGTTGATCCCACGTTTCTATCGCGAAAAAATAATTTTTTAGTGAACCCTATCATCCAGCACGTCCTAAAAGGTGTCTCAAAACCCTATGCATCAAAATAGCCTCATATCCAACTACTTACCTAAACCTAACCTAAAACCTAAATGTATACCTTAAACTAACCTGAACCCTAAATTATGTATCCCTAAAACTAACCTGAACCCTAAATTATGTATCCCTAAAACTAACCTGAACCCTAAATTATGTATCCCTAAAACTAACCTGAACCCTAAATTATGTATCCCTAAAACTAACCTGAAACCTAAATGTATCCCTAAAAACTAACCTGAAACCTAAATGTATCCCTAAAAACTAACCTGAAACCTAAATGTATCCCTAATGGCACTAATTGCACCAATTATCTGCATTAGCCTAGTAGATCTTCAACTTGTACTCACTGTTCACTTCTAGCTCAGATGGGCTTGGACTTGGAGATTAATATTAAAGTCAACTTTGAATTAGTTCTGTAACATAGTAGCATTGACTTATGCACATTTTTTTCTAAAATTAAAACCGGGACATTTTTAATTTTAAAACTTGAACTTGAACATTTGGCTAGAATTTAAAAAGCGTTACCCGGTACAATTGTAATATCTGCTACGGCATATAGGACATGAAGATTCCCCTTTCAAGCACCAGCGATAGTTCTGTATTCAAAAGATTTTTATTATTAAGCTTCATATTTATTTTTTACGATTGTTTGTTTTTTTCCATTTCGTTTTTTTTTTTCTGAAAGTGCAGTGAGGGTTCTCCCCTTCCCAGAAAGTCATGTTGAAATGTACAGTGAAATGGCGAAATAATTGAAATAATGGCACACCGGTTTATCTTTTTTTCAACCAATCAAAAATAGGACTTGCCTGCATTGCCTGCATCTTCATGAGGGTTTTGGCATATCAGCAAGGAAGCATTTATTTTTTTAATTTTTCTTGAACCATAAAAGATGTATTTTGATAAAAATTAATGGAAAATTTCATTTTTAAACTTATATATACATGGTCAACTTAATTGATTGTCAGATTTAGTTTATTACGTGAATAATGCTCCGTGAAGAACTGGAAAGTTATCACACACAATATTCAGCTCCAACTATTAGTCCTTTCACCCTAGGTTGAGTGTTGGGATTCCCCAAAGTGACATCATTGGGCTTAAAGTGAGACAACTCTTGTCCATAACCTGTACCGCAAACTAAACATTTACAGAACATTTAAAATTGTTTTAGTGCCTTCTATGTCCAAAAATAAACAATTTTTTTGTGATTTCATGTTGAGCTCTCACTTCTGACCGTGAGGCATTCTTTTGAAAAAGAAAAGTTATCTAGATGCTAATTAGCTTGAATTTCATATATATTTTTACTTCGTTATTTATTTCAGAGGTACTTGATCTTTTGTTAAATTAATATTTGTTATTTACCAGTCTTCAACTGTACCGGTTACAACTCACATCTAACTAGAATCAATGTCCTAAACGCGTACTGTTATGGTAAAAAAACATTATGACCGGTCACCTTAGATAAGAGTGACTGATTCCCTTACAACTGCAAATATTTCAAATAAATACTCAGATACATACTCCATGTCATGCCAGAAGCCCTTGAGATCAACTTTGAGGGGAAAATTTTATTTTGTCACAAAACTCATCAACGCTGTCATAGCAATTGTGAAATCAAATCATACAATTTTCTTTTGATAGTAAACAAGATTCAGTTAAGCTTAAAGCAGAAAGCATTTACAATAGTCTACATTCTTAACGCAGGGCTTCTGGAAAATTCAGTCCCAAAGTGTGTGGGCTATAATTTCATGAGCCAAATAATCATTTTGTGTTTTTCACGCATCTCCTATCATATTTAGTGCTTGTGATAGTTATAAACGACCCCTTAGAAATTCCTCAGGTCCTCAGTTGGCTGTATCACCCTTTTAGAAAGCCATTGTTAGTATAATTAAGTTTCAAAGAGACACTTATATTTACTGCATGATCATCCACATTATTAGACCTAAAATGATGGACTTGGTGTGCAAAAGGAAAATTTTAATGTTCATTTGATTCATTAATAAACTGATCAAGATCCTTCTTAGATTTTTATTAATTTTGATCATCAGTCGGAACCACAACTAAATGGATATCGAAGTGCAAAAGACAACATTTGGTGACGAGAGTAAAAGCATCCCCTCTTATGTTTTGGATGACTTAAGCAGGTAATTAGTTGTAGTTAGTTAATAATAGTAAAACTCTTCACAATAAAGTGGCTAAATGATAAGAACTTGTATAATTATAATTATTAACAATTCATTAAAATTACATTGTATTTTAACCACGTTCGAGGGCTAGTGCAGTGGTATAAATATTATTTAATTAGAAAAGATAACCTTGTGTCTGCATTGTAAATGGGGACCTTCTGCTTAATTAAATATGTTCAGCTTCTTTCATTTGAACTAGGCCTATATGAAGTTGTACCACATTGTTGTTTAGGGGATTCTCCTTGGTTTATGGTGCACTAACTGGGCAAACAGCATAAGTTATTTAAGAGATAATTCTTTCATAAAATTTAGATAAAGTTGCACAATCAATATGATATGTTTTCAATTTCAGTCGCTTCATAATTAACAGCAGACCAGAAGAAGTCACGTCGATTATCCGAATTTTCTTCCTCGTAGAAAATGCATATTGGTTTTATTTGGATTTTCATAGAGCTGAAAACCCAGATCTAAAGGAATGCTCCCTTAAGGAATTTGCATTGAACTGTATCCTTTATAATTATATTCAATACCCTACCTATAAAGTTCTCTTGGATTTTGTCATTAGCTCTTGATAAAAAGTTTCTGACCAAGTATTTGTTGTTTTACTCTGCCCTTTAAAGTATCTCATATATTTTGTACTACCTGTAATCTTTCCCGTATATAGAGTTGTTTCTTCTGTTATTGAAAGATGAATTGATATTAAAAATAGTACAGGTAAATATAAATGTTCAATTTTGTAAAAGATTTGACTAATGTGCATGTGCGAACGATGTCATGGATAAAGATTTATGAAAAATATTTGCATGAAGATAAATGAAACAAATTGACATTTTTTAAGTGAATTTTAGTTAAAAATTGATATTTTCTAATTACTACAACCCTAAAATGTGATTTGATTGCTGATTTAGATACATTTGATATGCAATCAAATATTATGTTAATATTTTTCAAACAATTTTTTTTGTCAATAAAGAGTTACCCCATGACTTCAGAATTCACTAATTCACCTGAATAAATTGGTTTACCCCAATGACCAGAATTCGCTAATTCAACTGAATAAATTGGTTTACCCAATGACCAGAATTCACTAATTCAACTGAATAAATTAGTTATAATTAAAGCTCTCCCATAAATGTTAACTGATATAGATTTTATATAAAGTTATTATCTTTGACTGTTAAAGTGATAAGCCATTGTCCCCAACTGAAACAGTATACGTTGGAATTTGACAAACACTTTGAAGCTTGGAAACAATACAAAAGAACTATAGCGACATGTGGAGCAATTATTCTTGATCAAGATCTCAAACATGTAAGTTGGTCGCTCTATTTCTTAACATTCTTAGACTTGATTAATGGGTAGTTTCCTTGAAAAGACATTAGAACTTAAACTTACACATGAAATATTAAAAGCTTGTTGCTAAAAGTCCAGTGGAAAAAAAATCAAGTTATTCGTATTGTAGCTATTGTAATGTTGCTTGTAAGTGACACGGCGATGACCTTGAACTTAGACCCAGAGAACAGAACTTTCTGAGTGACGACCTTGAACTTAGACCCAGAGAACAGAACTTTCTGAGTGACATGGTGATGACTTACTCTTAGACCCAGAAAACAGAATTATTCTTTTAAACTCAGACCTCAACATTAGGCACTGATTAGACAGCAATCTTTCCTTTAACTTTCTGGTCTAGGTTCTGTTGGTCCAAAGTTTTTCTAGCAAAAACAGCTGGGGTTTTCCCAAAGGCAAGATCAACCACAATGAAGCCCCAGAGGATTGTGCCGCCAGAGAGGTGAGAGTAAAAATATCTTTCAAATGGCACAAAGCAGGAGAGCTGCTCAGAATGGGCTGGCCTAACCTTATCTTTTTGTTGCAAACCATCCATTCTGCCTAAACAAAGGGGCATAACTCATTTTGGAACTGAATAATTTTGGTGTGTTTTTTTTTTTTTGTAATAAAAGATAAAAATGTCATTTTATTACTTTCTAATACAGTATCAGATATACAATGGAACATAATTTAACAGATAAAACATTTATGTATAATATTAACTTCAATTAACTTTTTAATGTCATGGTAACCCCTTGGTTCAATTACCATAGTTTTTACCACTAGAATCATGTTCAAGCTCCAACACCTTCTGCATTATTTCACTAGTTACTACAACAGTTTGTTTCACTAGTTTGGTTGATATTCTAAGCTTGCTCATTAATCTCTCAAAAGCATGGCCGCCATGCTCAATAAAGGAAACAAGTAAAACAAAGTATGGTCTAACCTGAAAAAAGGAACGCAACTCCTAGTGTACATAATTTACCCCAAAAAATTCAGTATTTAACTGTAAAGAGGCGCAACATTCTTGTGAGAATAAAAGAAATTTGTATCAGTCCTCTTTATGATAACAGTAGTTTGGTTGGTAGGCATCCTATGGTATGTTTTTGTTTTAACTTGTGGCGTGCCTTAGAATTCTTGGAAAGCCCTAGGATGTGCCTTAGAATTCTTGGAAAGCCCTAGGATGTGCCTTAGAATTCTTGGAAAGCCCTAGGTTGTGCTGCATGTGAAAAAAGGTTGCCAAGGTTTACTTTAATACATCAAAGGGTTTTTATTTAGTGAAATAGGAAGGGCCATGTATGAAAGTCAGTGGGTCTTTACTAGAGGCAGGAATGAATGAGATCTTTTTTGGTAGCTTATTTATTTCCATATATAACTTTAATTTATGCAAGTAAATTAATTTCTTTACTCTCTGAGGTATTGGAGGAGACAGGATTTGACATCAAACCTTACATGGATCCTCAAGAGTATTTAGAGAAATTTTCTAATGAACAAATTAGCCGCTTATATATTGTTGCTGGTGTACCAATAAATTCAACATTTCTTCCAAAGACACGGAGAGAAATCAGGGTAATTCAATAACTTAATCTAGATAATTCTGAACGGAAATAAGATTTAATGCCATGATGATGAATGTTATAATTTATTATATTAAAGGAGCTGGGCACCAGTTAAGGAAAGAATCAATTCATTGTGATTATTTTTATGCATGATTATTTTAAAATTTCAGGATATCCAGTGGTTCCCCATGGACACATTACCCACACATAGAGGAGACCAAACATTGAAAGAAGCCGTTGGACAGAATCTGAATCTCTACACTGTTACACCATTCCTTAGGTTAGCTTTATGTACATTACCTTAACCAAAGAATATGCTGAATAAAATACTTGGGTTGGCTATACATTTCATTACCTTAATAGAAGTATGTGCTCATCAGTAACTCATATCTTTTTGGTAGTGAAAAGCCCAGATTGTTTTTAAATCATTTCTACAAATCCTTCAAATGAACTGCTAAAAATTTGTTGGTTCCTGTGACTGTGATACATTGAACAAAATTTTTTTTTTTTTTTTTTTTTTTTTTTTACAAAATAGATCATTAAGAATATGGATTAAAAATCGGTCCTTAGAAATGTCAACAATGACGTCCAAACAAAGAAATCGTCAAAAGCAACAGAAACAGTTTAGTCAGCCGAGCCATGGCGTGTATCAAGAATTCAGTCAGCTCAAGAAAGGAAAATCAGCTGCTAAAAATCTCTTTACTCAGAAAACATCAACATCCTCAGTGAGGTAGGCATCTTGTATTTTGTATGGTGTAAAATTGTGTCAGTGATGTACACAGCTTGTTTGATATAAAATTGTGTCAGTGAGGCACACATCTTGGTTGTATAATTGTGTCAGTGAGTTACACATCTTGTTGGTTGTAAAATTGTTTCACTGTACACATCTTGTTGGTTGTAAAATTGTGTCAGTGAGGCACACATGTTGTATGATGTAAAATTATGTCAGTGGGGCACACATCTTGGTTGTAAAATTGTGTCAGTGAGGTACACATCTTGTTTGATGTAAAATGTTATGTCTATTTGTGACATGTAAAGAGATGTACATATATTTTGGTCATGTTTTGTCAATGTATTAAGTAGTTTTGTTGTACAGACACATTCAGTCAGCAATTTAATTTGACATCAATCATTTCAAGGTACTCCAAAGAAATAGATGTGCAGGAGGCAAATGTTAAGCAAGTAAGTTGTTTTCATTTAATGTATTAAAATTGTATGATACTGGTACCTAACCTAAAATCTGTAAAAAAAACTTTTTGCTATTCCATGAGACTATGATACTTACTTGGGTGCAGTCAAAGCATATTCCGCTTACAGTCTAGTATGTTACCAAAACTTGTAAGCCTTTTAAATAAATTTGATCTGTGTCTTTCAGAGTAAGAGAGCAATGACTGTTTTTCAATCTTTATTTGGTAAGTAAAACGTTACTTTGTAGTGGTAGATGGGGATGGGGTGGGTGAGGTGTGCTTGTGGTGTTGGATTAGATAGAGCAAAGAGTTGGGGGGAGGGAAGGTGATTTTTGGAATTGTGTTAACATAAGAAAGAACTACAACTGATAGAACAATTTATTATTTGATACATGGAATTTTGCTACACATTTAAATTTTTTAATTTTAACATAAATTATTAGTGTTAAATCCCTTTTCAATAAATCAAATATAAATGTCAAAACTGACCTATTTATGGAGGTAAAACTGAAAGCAGTGCATACTATGTGGATGACCCCCAGCAGTGCGTACTATATGGATTACCCCCAGCAGTGCGTACTATATGGATGACCCCCAGTAGTACATACTACATGGATGGCCCCATTAGTAGATACTATAAGGATGGCCCCAGAAGTACATATTATATGGATGACCCCAGCAGTGCGTACTATATGGATGACCCCAGCAGTACGTACTACATGGATGGCCCCATTAGTACATACTATATGGATGGCCCCAGAAGTACATACTATATGGATGACCCCACCAGTGCATACTAAATGGATGACCCCAGAAGTACATACTATATGGATGACCCAAGCAGTCCATACTATATGGATATCCCCAGAAGTAAATATTATATGGATGGCCCCAGAAGTACATACTATGTGGATGACCCCAGCAGTGCGTACTATATGGATGACCCCAGAAGTACATACTATATGGATGACCCCAGCAGTCCATACTATATGGATATCCCCAGAAGTACATATTATATGGATAGCCCCAGCAGTATGTACGATATAGATGAACTCAGCAGTGCGTACTATATGGATGGCCCCAGCAGTGCGTACTATATGGATGACCCCAGAAGTACATACTATATGGATATCCCCATAAGTACATACTATATGGATGACCCCAGCAGTACATACTATATGGATGACCCCAGCAGAATTACTATATGGATGACCCCTAGCTCCTCTATGATTATAGTAACCTGAAACTCTCCAAAATAAAGTTTAAAAATAAATATTGCAGAGGGTAGTAACAATATTGTTATCATAAATTTATTTTTTGCAGATAGTCCTCATAACATTCTAAACATATGCTACAAATCCTTATATAGCGTTGAGGAGGAAGGAGTTGATTTGTAAAGTATATAGTCCAAAAATTATGGCATGTAACAGGGGAGAATGTGTGCAACCAAATTTGACCTATTAAAATCATTATTAAACATAGATGCTGAAAATATTGTTATCTGATTTAAATAATCTTTGATTTCTGAAGTTTATCTCTGTACTTTTAGGCACTAAAGATGGCCGCCCTGTCGCTGATTTCAAGGCTCCTGTGGTTGACACTAACTCATTCCACTCAAAAGTTTGGCACGACTTTGTCATAGATGAGGATGCCTTAATGGAGGGTTTCCCTCACGAGGGCACGTACTGTCTTCCCTTTGGCCAACAAAGAGAGTTAGTTGCTGGGAAATGAAAGGAATTATAGGTAGAAAGTGTGTTAACCATTATTTAATTTTAAGCTGACATTCTTAGTAAAGTTTTGGGTTTGTACTTAAAAACATTTCCTTGTGCTCAATTGAAAAAGTCAGTGACTTGTTGGGTATTTCAATTGAAGAAGTCAGTGACAGGTTGGTTATCTCAACACACTACTGTTTATTGTTAAACATGAAATACATCTTGCAGTTAACACATAACAGTAGAATTTAGGCAAGTTGAATAGCTTTGGCTAGTAATGTGTATAGTCCATTCCTATGTGTAGTCCATTCCTTATTCATTAATCAGAAAATTTCATGTGTTGTTAGTATGCCACAAGTTTTTCCACTGACAAATGAAATTACTGTGGGCCATTCACAGATTAGGGTCATGCTGACTCTGACTTTCAACACATGGCGATGCTAAGAAAACTAAACATGCCGGTGTATAACTGGTTTCTCCAGCCGTTCCTGTCATCTCTTTCAGAGAAACCCTCCTTTAATACAAGCCTTGTCTCCAAGAAGGCACAGCACGGTGGGGCATGTGGATTACAGGACCCGAACCAGAGGGACCAGGTTCCTTGAGTCTTTCCTTCCAACCGGCTGTGGGCTGTAGGAGTCGGCTGGGATCCCTCGGTACTTCTACCTGTACAAAGGGCAGACAATTTACATAGTTATCAGTTAAATAGAAAATGTATTTTATGTTGATTAAAAAAAATCTTTTGAATAAAAAAAAAATTTCAAATTTACCTGAATAATTTACCTGAGTAACTTACCTGAGTTTTTAATGATTCCAGTTTTCTTTGTTTTTCTCTAAGTAGTTCTTCCTTTTCTTTCTCCTTTTCTTGTTTTTGAAGGAGACGTTGCATATCCTGGGAGTGATAGATACGTCAATGAAGTCATAAAAAATACCAATAAAAGGTTGCTTTTTAAATATATTTTTTATCCTTCTATATGACCCCATTGGGCCAAAGCAATTTCTTGGACCAAAGTGGCTCCCCATTTTCAGAACAACACAAGGGGACCACCACAACCTCCCCCTTTTCAGAACAACACAAGGTCAGCACCACAACCTCCCCATTTTCAGCACAATGCAAGGTCAGCACCACAACCTCCCCCTTTTCAGAACAACACAAGGTCAGCACCACAACCTCCCCATTTTCAGCACAATGCAAGGTCAGCACCACAACCTCCTCATTTTCAGAACAACACAAGGGGACCACAAGTTTTTATTACAGTAGAAAGATGTAGAATATCATTTCAGATCTCAGTACCCTAATATAAGTTATCAATTGAGTTGATAATATTGCAAACTACATTCTGAAGTTTGATGTATCAATAATCCCAAGTCATTTGGTGATCCAGTCAGTTTTGAAGTTCTCATGCAGAATGTCTAAAACTAACGTTCTTTTTACAAGTTAGGTTCATCCATTTATAAATGAAAGTTACAGCTGGATATAATAAATAAAATCTTTACGGATATCATCCTTCTAAATAACCTACAAATGCACTCAAGGGAATAGTCGAAATTACTGAAATAAAAGACCTGGTTACACTGGAACTCCCCAAATAGTACTTGACCATCTCAAAATCATTATAATACTGTATTGAAATAGTAAATAAATAAACATACAGTATAATTTATATAATAACTAATCACATTGCAATTCTAATAAAGGTCAGTGCTCAAAGTAGATGACTATTGTTTATATATTTGTTTATATATTTCTATACAGTGCATTATTGCAACAAAAAAAAGATTCCCGACCCCTGCATTGAGCCTGATTTTATTTTCTGTTCAAATATTGTGGTCATATAACTAACTACCACAAGCTGTTTTGGGTGAAGGGGAGAGAAATGCTGGAATAAAACTGGGGTTTTAAACTTGTACAGCTGCTTTGTGACTTCTAAAAAAAAAAAAAAAGATTTGAAATGCTGCTGACTAGATCTTAATCTTATAAACTATGTGCTTACTAGATCTTAATCTTATAAACTATGTGCTGACTAGATCTTAATCTTATAAACTATGTGCTAGCTAGATCTTAATCTTATAAACTATGTGCTAGCTAGATCTAAATCTTATAAACTATGTGCTAGCTAGATCTTAATCTTATAAACTATGTGCTAGCTAGATCTTAATCTTTTAAACTATGTTAAAATGTAACGCTGCTGTGCAGAGCAGTTGAGAAGGCATTTTTTCGTCCTCTATTTTTAAACAGCTGTCATTCCCCCCAAGAATGAAATAATTATGTCACAAAATTACCCCATCAGCACAAAAGCAAATGTTTACTAAATTTTAACTTGGTGTAAACCCTAATATGCTACACATTACTTTTGCTGTGCGAGTTCATTGTGAAAACATAAAGCAACAATATGGTGATCATTATGATTTATATATTTTGACGCCCCCTACCCCCACCCCCATGCATACCCCTATGCTTCCAAGTCAACACCACCCCCTTTGCCCTGTCAGTGCATAAGTACTAACTAACTAACTTAAGAAAATCAGCGAACACCGAGCCTTGAGGCTCATATGGTCCTCCCCAACGCACCACCCCGCCAACCAAACCGGCCGTCAACCACTCCCCCAGTGGTCTTTATTCCGATCGGGCCGCGAAGCGGCACGCCAGGGACGCTCCGCCCCTAAGACCGCCACACTCGACCTCCACTCGATTGGCCGCTGAGTGTGGCAGCCCCAGAGAAGAAACACCTGGCCAGCCGGATTGCTGCTCACGCAGCAACAGGGCCGGACTTTCTAAGGGGTTGGGGTGGATATTTAACGTCTCTAAAGTCCCCCCTTACCACCCCGGGGGGACCGCGTAGTTGTTTAAGACCGACGCCCTCTACTAGGGTTTGTATGGTTATTCTACGGTGCGACTAATTCACACCGTAGATGGGAGAGAGAGGTTGCCTTGGAGCAGTACCCTCAAGACTGCATATTTAAAATCACCGGTGAAAGGTTGCCACACACCTTCACCTCATATCCATACGGCAACTGTAATCATGTCCCAACCTGTTTCTGCGTTTAGTAAAATAGTTCGACTGCACTTGGTGGGAAGCCATGCAATCGTGCTCGATTTAACGCAGTCTCCGTGCGTTACCTTTGCCTTTCAGCGCGGGTCCCCTACACGGTGGTACTGTTCCCCGGGTAACGCTCCAGGGGGTTCGTGGCGAGCGCCTCTTTATCAAACATGTCATTGATCGACATGACGACAAGAGCCCCGGGGCTGGTGCATAAGTACTAGAATTGTGGATGGTCAAACAAGAGCAGATAAACAAGAGCTAGTTAATCATGACATCAAACAACGTACTGGTGCTGAAAGGTCAAGGTGGATCAAGAAATTAATGTTATACAATTAATTAGATTAAAACCAAATGAAATATAAGAAAAAGGTATGCTAAACTTGCATGTTTGGGTGTGTTTATCCTAGTGTGTTTAAGCTAAGAGCCAATTCATATACATACATACATATGGATGGCCCCTAACCAGATTCATGACTAAAAAGACTTGATGTCCTTTGTGATGACTATACCAGAAGCTTCAATTACAAATAATGCATTTTACAACATACTCTGTTCCTAAATCGCCCAAGTTCTTTAGCGATGACTGCTTTCTTTTGTTCTGCCTCGTGCTGCTTTCTCTCCTCCTCTATCATGTGCAGCAAGTCTTCCTCCAACTGCTTTTGTTGACGAAACTCCTCAACCAACTTTTTGGCCTCCAGCTGAGAGTGGGAGTAAGTCATAATAAATAATAAAATGAATGCGCTGTGTTATAATTTTATGATTTGGTCCCGCTGTTACCCAATAGTTATAATTTATAATTAAGTTTTATAGTCGCGATAAAGTATTAAATACGTCTTGAAGCAATCGCCAGGTGGACAGCTTGAGACTGTCATTTATCATTTCCATTGGTCAAGAAAATACCCATGTATGCAGATCAGTATTACTTGTTTTTTTCTTTCTTCCTCTTGCTTCCTTTTTTTCTCCATTTCCTCTTTCATATTCTTTTCTTCTTTCATTGCTTTCTCCAACTCCTTCTGCACCTAGAAAAGGAAATGTTGAAAAAATTTAATATAACTGTAACCAACTATTTCATAATGATAACTGGGATATAAATGTTTATACTTAGTCAATGTGATTTGTAGAGATCAAATGACACCAGTGATAAAATTATCTGGCCATAAACAATAACTAGCTGGCAATATTTGACATTTGAACATCACATCCATTCTACAGCAAATATCACTAAAAATGTTAAGCCACAATGTTTCCTTCATATAAGCCGAGTCAAGCAACTGAATTTTATTATTAATGCATCTGCTACACATAGATCGGCCCAGCCATCAGAATGATCAATACATTGATTGTGGGCCCTCAAAATATAGAAGAAGAGGGTTAAAGCTGCTGCTATATCCGCCTGTGATTAATTTTAATAAAACATACGCCTTTACTAAAGGTAGATAAAAAAAGTTTGATCCAAGAGTTACCTTCCATGCATTGAGTTGCTTGCATCTGTCCATCTTGTCCAGGGTGAGGGCAGCTTGTTGAGCTTTTCTTCTAGCTTCTTCTTCCTTCATCTCCTCCAGCTCGTCCTGTACCTGTGTTATTGCATCTTCCTTCTCTTCCTTTAGAAAACAATTCAATTAATTAATATCTAATTATAATAGAGTTTTATAACCAGACAGGTCTCAATATACCCTTATATTTATGGAATTAGAATGGTAAAAAAAACAATTTTAAACTGTGGACTACAAAAGCCACTGAGGACTACAAAAGCCACTGTGGACTACAAAAGCCACTGAGGACTACAAAAGCCACTGAGGACTACAAAAGCCACTGAGGACTACAAAAGCCACTGAGGACTACAAAAGCCACTGAGGACTACAAAAGCCACTGTGGACTACAAAAGCCACTGTGGACTACAAATGTCATAGTGTTATCCAATTTGCTCCAATGATGCATGAATTAAAACAGATTCAATCCACTCCAGTGTCATAATAAAAGTTTTCAAATTGAACATTTTGCAGATATTAATCTTCAACTATAAGAGTAAGCAGTATATAGTCTCAAATTAAATTTTAAAAACTCCAAATGTTTTAGCCAAATAAACCAAATACTTGACTTGATTTAGTAGACTATGAGGGAATTTGTATGCCTGCCCTAAGTCTGTCCTAACACCTCAGACAATCTGCCCTGACACCTCAGACAATCTGCCCTGACACATCACACAATCTGCCCTAAGTCTGCCCTGACACCTCAGACAATCTGCCCTAAGTCTGCCCTGACACCTCAGACAATCTGCCCCGACACCTCAGACAATCTGCCCTGACACCTCAGACAAAAATGTCAATCAATGATCTACAGACTAACCTCTTTTTTTTCTCTCCATTTTTTTATGGCATATTTTTTGTTCTCCTTGAGAAAGTTGAACTCCTGAAACCATGTCTCATGCTCTCGTATCTCAGCTTCTGTACGTATAGGCAGTAATGGCTTCACATGATCCAGAAACACAATTCTACCCTTAGGAGTTAAATATTTTAATAAGCAATCAAGTTTCTTCCACACTCACATGGTTAAGGTGATCTTTTAATGATCAATTTATCAATATTTTTGTAGATAACAAAATTTAAATTGTTAAATAGAAAATTAATTTCAAGATGTTGTTTAGTTTCCTTATTTTGGTGATAGACGACATGCAACCAATACAAGGTGCAGCCAGTTCAATTCATGCAACCCATGTAAAATACATCAAGTTCAATTCATGCAATCAATGTAAGGTGCAGCCATTTCAATTCATAACAAAATTAATTTTAATGTTGTCAAATGTTTAAAAAATACCTTGTACATATTTCTGTATCGCAGAAATGTTTGATGATCATATTCATCCCAACCTCCACGATGACCACCAGTTTGGTGAACAAATTTCTGTCAATTAAAATAAGTATTATTCATCCAAATCTTAATTAGTTACAAATTAACTTGTCCACAGCCGTTCTAATTCTACTAGCAAATATATTTTCAAACTGATAAACAAACCTCTTAATCAACAGAACAGCTTGCATGAGAACCGTCTTAGTCTTAGTTTTGATCAAGTATTTTAAGATGAATTCAGACATTTAAAAAAGCATACTAATAATGATGGCTGTCAGTAGGAAACAAGAAAGTTTAAGTTAAAGGTCATATTAGCAGATGTTTGAACATAATTTATGTTATTTTCATGAATCATATTAGCAGATGTTTGAACATAATTTATGTTACTTTCATGAAAAGTAAAATCCTATTTTGACTTGTTTCTGTTGCTCTAGTATAAGAATATAAAATATGTGAAATAGATTTAAAGGCACTTTTATCATAACAGTACAAAATTGCAACTCTGTGGTACCGCTGCTTGCATGACCTGGCGCCATCCTATTTCAAAGTGCTCATGACGCCTTATGTACCCGCTAGACAACTCCGCTCATCCGATAGTGGTAAACTCTCGATACCACGTGTTTGCCTTGAGACTTACGGAAGGCGCACTTTTGCATTTACTGGCCCAACAATTTAGAACACACTTCCTGTCGCTCTCAGAAACAGCCAGACACTGGAGTCTTTCAAAACCGATTTGAAAACATATCTATTTCGCAAACCCCTGTTGGGGTGATGTTGTCTACCATCTTTTCCAGCTAACTATTATCTCCTAGATGTATAGTGGCCTGTGTTGTTTATGGTTGCAAGGGACGAAAGACTTAGAATTGGTATTCTCATATGTAGTTTTTGTTATGTTGCATTTTGTATTTCAATGTGGTAAAACATAGATTTTTTTCATTTCTCTTTTAATATGGATGACTTTGTACCGTGCTTCGAGCCTTTGGGTATGAAGTGTGATTTTCAAAAAAGCTTTATTATTATATTATTATAACTTAAAATTAGTTTAAATTTTTATTTTATTTAAATCCTTAGTTGGAGGAAAAAATTTGTTTATCCGGCAACTTCTTTATTCAAATAATGGAAATTAATTAAAATATAAAATAAACAGATTATTAATATAAGAAAGATCATTAATATTTAATTTAATAATTACATCAAAAGCTGCAACTTCTGGAGGCAGATCTTTAGTCACATCCATATCACTTGCAAGAGATCGCGCAGACACCGCTCCTTGCTTTTTCAGATCTGTCTTGGGTAACTGATTCCAGCTATCAAATTTAGTTTCTTGTTGCTGTAATTCTTGAAACAATGAGCGCTCCGACCGCATCAGCTCATCATATCTGTCAAACAAAGCTATTCTGTTAAATCAATCTCAGTGCTTTTTTTTATTATAATAATTTAACATTTAAGCCCTAATTCTAGTTTGTCCTAATGATCTCGCAACAGTACTGTAGTACTTACAAAATAAAAACTACACTTAGTTTTCAAGAAGAGAAAATCAAAAGCAATAAAATAATAAATAGATTGTGTTTAAGATAGCAGGATCCAAGATGATTTATATTTTTCTAACTTACAAATAAAAAGACAATTTTATCACATGAAGAAACTAAAAATATACAACTTCAACATTCTAACTGACCTAATTTGTAAAAGATCATTGAGCTCAAATTTAATGTAATGGAATTCAGTTATCAATTATGAATAACCAGTTATTAATCAGTTATCAGTTATCAATCATCATAAAAACACAAGAAAAATAGAGACAAGAACATTCATTCCAATATGACTCACTTTAACCTTTGCTGCTCTTTGAAGGAGTTGATCGTGCCTTCAATTTCTTCCATAATCAACTTTAATTTTTCAACAACTGAAAGACAAATGTTAATGTATTTTAACCTTCTCAAACACCTTTAAAAACTGAAGAAAAAAAATATCAAAATACAAGGTTTTCTATGTACCGGTATCAGTGTCACTAACCCTTCAAGATGGCGCTGATTTTGTTAAATAAAATCCCTGACAACTGCGCTAAATGAGATTCTTAAAAAATACTTTCGATCAAAGACAAATTGAAACACACTAAAATGAAGAAAATTATTTAAAATTCCTTAAAATGCATATGCAAAGAAAGGCTGTGCAGAACTGTAGATGAGCACTCTATTAGCCAAAGGATTGGAACTGAATGTAGACGGAACTTAAATATTTTATTTTTAATTTAAGAAAATATATTTTATGTCAAGGTCATGGAATCAGCGATGCAGTGTGTGTTGTGATGTTGTGACAATTCGGTTGTGTGAACTGTTTTCAAGTCATGGATGGTTGCCTGAATTGTGGGTGATAAAAGGAGAGACAACCATTTTCAGCAAGAGAGTGAAATAAGAATCTAGAGGGTGTGTCAGCTAGAGTGAGCGACAGAGAGGATAGTATGTTTGGATTAGATTCGCAGTATGGCTTGTTGCCTGTGTATTTCTATTCTCTGCATCGCAATTATAATTGTTATAACATTATCCTGATCTCAAGGAATTGTGTGATTTATGCAGCGTATAATGCAATCAAAAAACATTTCCATTTATTTGGATCAATAAAAGAATCTTATCTTATCTTATATAATAAAGTACTGAGTAGTGTACATTTGACATTTTTGCTTCTTACTAGAGAGAGAGTCTTGTGAAGTTGGATATAATAGACGAGGCGAAATATTTGACATGCATCAGAAGACAAGTAGCCAATGAAATATTAGACATTTTCTGCACAGACTTTCTCTACAAAATACATTTTAATAAATATTAAATTATCTGAAAAATTAATAAACTCCACAACATGGAAATGCGAGTAGAAAGAAAGTCTTTAAAAATATTGCGTTTAGTGCATAATATTTACTATTTTTTGTCGAGTAACTTTAGCAGATAGGAAGTTTATGCTTTGCGGCACCATAGTTTGGCGGGCTATATCTAGTATTAATATATTTATATTCTTCTCCATCAGCAATCAGCAAATGAAAATAAAATATCAATACATATTGGATATCTGCTGGACTGTTTAGGTATGTGCAGGACCGTCGTGGTATCTGCAGGACTGTCTAGGTATTTGCAGGACAGTCTTGGTATGAATCATATATTTGCTTCTTTTTAAAAAGTATATTAAAAAATACTCACATTCAGGTGTTGGTTTAACATCTCGAAGTTCACGGTGAAATCTTTTAACCATATGGCTTATTTTTTGTAGCTGCTGTTTAACTTTTATCACTGTGAATTTTTTTATAAAATTAGCTAGATTTAATTTTACACTGAATAGAAATAACTTCCGGTGACATTACCAAATTTATAAAAAATCTCATGACACCAAATATAATTAACATTGGATTATTTAATATTATAAATTTGCTTTCTTAAAACACAATTCTATACATATTAAGAAATAAATTTCAACACAAAATTATAAACTTATTTTATATCTGTTTTAAAATTACACAAACTTGTTATAAAAATGTTTATTTTCTTGTTGGAAAAGTGTTTCTATGAAAAAAATAATTAAATCTGAGTTTCTTAACCTTTCCAGACCTGCACCCCATTTCAATTTCAAAACATATGTCCTGCACCCTATCCCAATTAAACAAAATATTTCCTGCAACCCATTTCAATTTCAAAACATATGTTCTGCACCCCATTTCAATTTTTAAAAATATGACCTCCACCCCATTTCAATTTCAAAACATATGTCCTCAAACCCATTTCAATTTCAATACATATGTCCTGCACCCCTTGATAAAAAATGCTAATAAAATGCAAATAACCTTTCCTCCTCAACATTAACATTTTATTAAAATCAAATTATTTATGTTTCTCCTTCCACCTTATACTGCATTTTTTTTTTCAGGCCACAGTTCAAAAATTGTATTAAAAAATGTAATACATTAAAAAAATGTAATGCATTAAAAGATTTAAAACCAGGTCATTTATAACAAATTTATTTTCTTTAAAAAATAAGCATTGTACTTATAAACTGCCTTAAATATTTTGGAGGTGAGCTATAAAAATTGACATAAAATTTTAAACATCATAGACAATGAACATTTATTGTACATTACATTCAGTTTTTCTTTCATCAACCATTTTTGACTCCTCCTCTTCCAAGGATGAAAATTCCTGTCTGAATTCTGATCGCTTGCAGAATATGTGAGTTAATTTTTCTCTCTCTAATCCTTGAATCCTTAGAAAGACATTTTTTTAAAAAGATATTATATTCTCATAACAATATTGTATTTTATGGACCAGTGAATTAAGATTTAAAATTAATAATGCTTGGGGTTAGGATGCAGTGATAAGAAATAAAAATCCTATGCATTTTTTTTATTACGCCTTAAATAGTAATGTAAAGAACAAGAGCTGTCTTAAATATTTTCAAATAATAATAATTCAGAATTTCAATTAATGATGTTTTTTTATTTTAGTGGACTTACTGAACATTAAGTTTATGAATGTCCCGTAAAATGTCCGCCTTTTTTGATTGATCAATTTTCTTCCTAAGACCTGAACCCTGTTCCTCCATATCCTTTAATAAAGAAAATGTAAAATTCATTTGGAAAGAAAGTAACACTTGTTTAAAAATTTGATATTAACATTTTATGATTTCATTAGCACATACAGTGTTATTGAACTTTCAGCTATTTATAATAGTAAGGACTTGAGAACTCTTCAAAACAAACAAAAATAATCATGACAGGAAAAACTCTATCTCCAGCCATGAAAAAGCACAGAACCTAAAATCCTTCAGCTTGTAATATACCAAAATTTCAAAACCCCTACTTAATCTTGCATTTGCAAAATCAGTCACAAATTTTTGCACATGTCAATTAAATGGTGGCTCAATAATTTTTTACTATTGTTTCTTGTTGAAATAAAGAATTTAGTTTTATATGTAAGACAACACATTAAAAACACACACATAAAAAAAAAAAACACACAAAATCGTGTGGAGAAAAGGTAGAGGTAAGGATTATCACAGAAAAATCTTCATGAATTGGACAAATACCTCAGCATGATCATCATGTTATGGGGATGACTTTGGGTTTCATGTTTTAACTTTAATAGTGCACCAAATATGCCCCTCAGATTTACCCATTTCTAAGCACATCTTTTTGGTCCATTGCCTCAGCAATAGTCTAAAACAGTGCTGATTTAAATAAGCAAAGAAAAGGCAACTAATATAATAATCATTGTATTTAATGTGAGTTGTAATTGTAAGTTCAATGGGAGACAATAATTCCATTTCTTGGACATTGCCTCTCAAGACTAATTTAACTTGTTCTCAAACTCAAGCACCAGTGGCTACCCAAAGAACTGATGAATAGTGAATGTATTTTAGTTATAGTCATAGTGGCTACCCAAAGAACTGATGAACAGTGAATGTATTTTAGTTATAGTCATAGTGGCTACCCAAAGAACTGATGAACAGTGAATGTATTTTAGTTATAGTCATAGTGGCTACCCAAAGAACTGATGAACAGTGAATGTATTTTAGTTATAGTCATAGTGGCTACCCAAAGAACTGATGAACAGTGAATGTATTTTAGTTATAGTCATAGTGGCTACCCAAAGAACTGATGAACAGTGAATGTATTTTAGTTATAGTCATAGTGGCTACCCAAAGAACTGATGAACAGTGAATGTATTTTAGTTATAGTCATAGTGGCTACCCAAAGAACTGATGAACAGTGAATGTATTTTAGTTATAGTCATAGTGGCTACCCAAAGAACTGATGAATAGTGAATGTATTTTAGTTATAGTCATAGTGGCTACCCAAAGAACTGATGAATAGAGAATGTATTTTAGTTATAGTCATAGTGGCTACCCAAAGAACTGATGAATAGTGAATGTATTTTAGTTATAGTCATAGTGGCTACCCAAAGAACTGATGAATAGTGAATGTATTTTAGTTATGTCATAGTGGCTACCCAAAGAACTGATGAATAGTGACTGTATTTTAGTTATAGTCATAGTGGCTACCCAAAGAACTGATGAACAGAGAATGTATTTTAGTTATAGTCATAGTGGCTACCCAAAGAACTGATGAACAGTGAATGTATTTTAGTTATAGTCTTAGTGGCTACCCAAAGAACTGATGAACAGTGAATGTATTTTAGTTATAGTCATAGTGGCTACCCAAAGAACTGATGAACAGTGAATGTATTTTAGTTATAGTCATAGTATTTAAGGTAGAGACCAACCGAAAGTGACTTTCTGATTTTGGCCGAAACCAGACCGAAAGTAGAAAATGACTTTTGGCCAAAACCGAAAGTTAAAAATGACTTTTTGCCAAAACCGAAAGTAAACTTTTCAGTGTCTGCCGAAACCGAAGCCGAAATATTTAAATATTTCAAAACTCGTTTTCACACACGCTCTGATCACCGCAAAAAATGATGGAACAACTTTTGTGGCAATTTTTATTCATCTTAAATGACTCTAATACAATTTATCCAATGAAGTGAAACTTCTCCCCTTCTTTGGCTTTTACCATTGTATTAAAAAATAATTTAAACTGATAACAAATAAAATTTTAATTAATATTGTAATTTAAAAATTTTACCTGGGGAAGGGCAAAATTCATGCAAAATAGTAGATTTTAAAATTTAATTACAATGCTATCTAACCATATAAAGGGTTTCGATCGAGAGCTTAGGCTATCTATTGTTTAATGGTATTGCCCATTAAAATGTCCACACACAAGACTTGAAAAAACTCTTTTTTTCCGAGAACCCATACATTTTTTGTTGAAACTCGTGTTCTTATTGGTCGACCTGAAATTGTTTATTGGCAATTATCATTGGTCGGCTAATTTTAGATTTGACCTAGAATGAACAAAAGTTTAGCGAATGTTGGTTTAGTTTGATAATACAGTCCCACTTCTTAATTATTTGACGAAACAGTGATACACACATACGTGTGTAGTGCGTGTAGGCTTATGATTTAAATAAAAGGCGACTTTTCCCTAATTATACACAATTAAAGAAGTAATGATGTTTTATTATTTTTTTAAATGTTACTAAAGGTTCATTCTTTTATTTCTTTACATTTGTTTCCATACACTTTGCACTTGACTAATTTGGTGTGGATATTTTAAGCTTTTATTTCATTTTCAGGAAAAACATTTATGAGCACAATAATGATGAATGTCAATGAATTAATTCATTGAGAACGCCTAGGGATCCCAAATTAAAAAGAATAAAAGAATAATGTAAAAAAATAATAAAGGAAATGTTACCATTCCCTAAGTTGTTTATTTTTCACAATGCTGGTAACCTTGCACTAGGACTACATTTATGAGCAAGATCATGATAAATCAAAATGTATTTCACAAATAAATGACTTAAGCCTAGTGTTCCCAATTTTTAAAAAAAAATAAAAAATAATAATATAAATATTACCATTCCCCATAGTTTTTTTTCCCACAAAACTGTTAACCTTTCCCTTGCCTTATTTAAATTTCATTTCTTAAAATATTGGACAAGTCAGACATTATAAAATACAGTGTTCGCAAATTATTTGTGATATCTTACCGATGACAGCAATACGTCATGCAATAATTAATATTGGATTTCAAGCCGTCAGATAGAGTGACAATATGAAATCTGTTAGAACACCGAAGGCATTTTTCACTTTTGGCAGGAAGTCTCAGACACTTTTGGCCGAAACCAAAAGTAAACCAAAACTTAACTTTTAAGTTTTGGCCGAAACCGAAAGTAAACTGAAACTTAACTTTTCAGTTTCTGTCAAAACTGAAAACTAGGCCAAAAGTGATCAAATGGCAACTTTCGGCACTGAAGCTGAAATTTGGTGGGTCTCTAATTAGACATAAAAATGTGAAAATGTGTTTGTTTGTTTGTTTGTTGGGATAAAGACGGGATAGGGATACCAAAGGGATCGGGATCCTACTGGGATCGGGATACCGACGGGATAGGGATACTAAAGGGATCATGATACAACCTGGATTGTGATCCTAATGGGATCAGGATCCCATCAGGATTGGGATACTGTCGGAATACTTGATCCTCCTGGGATTGGGAACCCACCGGTATCAGGACCCCACCGTTATCCCACTGGGATCAAGATACCACCGGGATTGGAATACACTTTTGGGATCCCACCGGTAATGGGATCCTGAGGGATTGAAATCCTACCAGGAAATGGGATAATAGGAAGATCAGGATACCGGTACCGAAGGGATTGGGACCTCAACAGGATTGGAATACTGACGGTAACAAGATCCCGGTGGGATCGGGATCAAACCGAGATCAGGATCCAAAGGTTAAGGATTCCTCCGGATACTGGGATACATCAGAAAACGGGATCCAATTGGGAAAAGGGATCCAAATGGGTTCCCTCCAGGATCGGGATCCTATCAAGGAACGAAAGTTTTACACAAGTTATTATAAATGTGTTTTAATAGGAGAAAGTTTATTATTATCATTTTTACTAGAGCGGTGGTTTTGTTTTGTGCACAGTGCTTAAATGTTATTTATAAAGCTGTAGAAGTTCCTTTGGTCCGAATGCTATCCCAGCAAATGCCGGGTATATTGGCTAGTATATATATATAACAGTGAACATTTGTTTGTGGGTTTGTGAGTTTGTTTGTTCCACAATGGATTGATGGATCTTGACCACACTTAGCACATATAGCCATCATTATCCAGAATCAATTAGAGGGGGGGGGGGGGGTTATGAACTTTTTATAACATTCCTTTTGGGGCCGGGGGCCCCGAATTTTTTTTTTTTTTTTTTTATGTTTTAAAAAAAAAATGACCACACTTAGCACATATAGCCATCATTATCCAGAATCAATTAGAGGGGGGGGGGGGTTATGAACTTTTTATAACATTCCATTTGGGGCCAGGGGCCCCGAATTTGTTTTTTTCCTTATATAAGCTTTAAAAATAAAATGACCTAAACGAATCTATGGATATTGACAAAACTCAGTGCACATACACTTGATTATCCATATTCAAATAGTGAAGGGTCCTGAACTCATAATATCCATTCCTCTAGGGCCAAGGACCCCATTTAATTTTTCCTTACATAAGCTATATAAATATCAATAAACTTAAACAACACTATAGGTTCCATGTGAATTGATGGATATAGCAATACACTTCATTGTCCGTATTGAAATATCCGTGGATTTAAAAACTAAGAATATCCAATCTAGAATTTTCCAGAAAGTTCAATAAGCTACATCTAAGGCATTATTATTGAGATTTTAATGCGACAAATTTAAATTTTTAACTCCAAAATTTATCTGAATAATTTTTATGGGGCCCACCCATCTCAGGCAAAATTGATTCTGTACAATTAAGGAATGGGCCCTGTTGGAGCTCCTCTTTTAACTTAAATGTACTATAACTATAGTGGTGCATTTAGTTGTATAATTTTTCATATTCAAAGAATACTTACTTAGAAAAGACATTTTTATACCTTTTGAGGAGGATATTAATTTTAATCTAGAAATTTCAAGTAAGTTCTATATTGTTTTATGGGTATATATAATGGAATCTAAAAGTTTATTGAAATGTTTGTTTAGTTCTAGACTTTCATGGGTATTTTCTTTAAACAAACCCTTTATAATCCTACCGGGAACAAAATCCCAATGGAAACATGATCCCAATGAGAAAGAGGATCCTAAAGGTGAATTAATATACTGGAACCCACCGGTAACACGATCCCATCGAGCAAAAGGATTATACGTGGCAAACGGGATCCCATTGGAGAAGAGGATCCCACCGGGAAATGGAATCCTAACTGGATCAGGATCCCACCTGAAAAAGGGAATAAATTGGAAAATGGTATCCTACTTGGAAATGGAATCCCATCGGGATCCTAACTAGTTCAGGATCCCAATGGGGTCGGTATCTTAATGAGAATGGGATGCCATCTGAATGTGTGATACTATTTGAAAAAGGTATCCCAGCGGGATCCCAATTGGATCGGGATCCCATTGGAAAATTTTATCCTACTTGGAAATGGGATCCCAAATTGGGGGCAGAATCCCATTAGGATGAGGGATCCCATTTGAAACAGGGATCCCAATGGGGGTTGGGATTGCAATGGGATTCCATTTGGAAACGTGATCACAATCAGCATCTGGATCCCAATCGGATATGGGATCCCAATCGGGATCGAGATTGGTATCCCAATGGGTTCAATATCCCAATGAGATATCACAATACCACCGGGATCAGAATACCGACAAGATTGGGATCCCACTTGAATTGGGGTTCCAGAGGGATCGGGATCCCACCAGGATTGGGATCCTATCGGGATACAGACCGGATAGGGATACCAATGGGATCGGAAGGCAGTCCCGGGCAACGCCGGGTATATTGGCTAATTAATTAATATAAATGTTTGCGTTTATGCATAATAACTCGCAGGGCCAGGGCTAACTCAGACGACTCAAAATTACTCAAACGAAATATAACAACTGTCAATAATGTAACACTCTCACAGTGAACAGCGAGTCACACTAGAACAGTGGTTCTCAACCTTCCTAATGCCACGACCCTTTAATACAGTTTCTCGTGTCGTGGCGACCCCCAGCCACACAATTATTTTCGTTGCTACTTCATAGCTGTAAGGATACGTGTTTTCAGATGGTCTTAGGCGACCCCTGGGAAAGGGTTGTGCGACCCCCAAAGGGGTCGCGACCCACAGGTTGAGAACCGCTCCACTATAGTAAACTGTGACTAATGAGATGAGTATTGTATTAGTACTAAAATAATAAAAAACACTACTGGTCTACTGTTAGTTACACTGTTACACACTACTGTACAGTGTAAATTTACAAATCTATGAGTTATGATTATGAATATTATTGAGAGAAAACATTGACATTATTATAATTATAATAATTATATTAATATTATTTATATATTATATTATTAGTTTTTATTATAACTTAATTTAAATAAATTAGAAATTAACTAACCTAATCTAAAATTAAAATACTAACTAACGAATACTACTTAGACTACTACTAATTTCATAGACTACTATGATTCATAGTTTCAAGACGACATAATTTATAATATAATTTAATATGATAGGCATCAGGAATAGGCATAATCATAAATCATAAAAATAAAGGCCTACCTAACCGGATAGGGCTTTACTTTAAATTATCCATCATTAAAGTTTAAAATTCATTAGACAAGTTTTTTTTTTCTTTTCCTAAAGCCAAAACTTTAAACTTGATAGTTATTTTCTTTTAAACAATACCTGAGTGGAATATGCTGACGCCATGATTAAACGATAATTGATTTAGACTTAAACAAAAGTGTTGGTAGGGCTTGGTAAAATTATTTCCGGTGTTTTGTTTGTTTTGAGCTTAAAAATATTGGTACAATTGTTGAACCTTTTCCAACATGTCATTTGTCAAGCCCCTACCCTTCCTGTATGCAGAAGCTTGTGCCCTAAACGCTGTATCAGAAGTGAATATGCAACGCTGCGTCTCAAACTTTACTGATGCTTGCAAAAACTTCGGGCTCACCATTAACACACAAAAGAATGAGGTCCTATACCATCCAGCTCCTCGAAGACCTTATGTTGAGCCCAACATCCAAGCATATGGCAAAAGACTTAATGTGGTGAATAGCTTTTCTTATCTCCGCAGCACACTGTCTCAAAGCGCAACCACCGATGACGATGTTAACCTCCGTTTGCGAGCTATGGAAAATTGACTAAGAACGTATGCACCAGGAGAGGTATCAGCACTCAAACTAAACTGAAAGTGTTTCAGGCGGCTGTTCTTCCAACCCTTCTCTATGCCAGTGAAACGTGTATGGTATACCAACGCCATGCAAGAATGCTGAACCACTTTCATAAATCAAGACTCAGAAAAATCCTCAACATCAAATGACAGGACAGGGTCCCAGACACTGAGGTGCTCACACAGGCAGGACAGGGTCCCAGACACTGAGGTGCTCACACAGGCAGGACAGGGTCCCAGACACTGAGGTGCTCACACAGGCAGGACAGGGTCCCAGACACTGAGGTGCTCACACGGGCAGGTCTCCCCAGCATCTTTACCATCTTAATGTACCATGTTGTGAGAATGTCAGACGACCTTCTGCCCAAAAGATATTTCTATGGTGAGCTCGAACAAGGAAGGTGATCTGCTGGCGGGCAGAAGAACGTTTTAAAGACAACCTCAAAGCCTCACTGAAGGCGTTCGATATAAACCCAGACACGTGGCAGAAAAAAAAGCAAAGGATCGCACAACATGGCGTTCCACTTTACACAGGAGCTCCATGCAACATGAAGTTGGCAGAACAGCGGCTGCAGAGCGCAAGAGACATGCCAGGAAGGCCCGGTCTGACTCTGCTCCCGGAGATGCCCCATCATTCCCTGCACATACTGCACAAGAAAATTTCACCCACAGAAAGGACTAGCACAAATCTGATGATTAAAGTGGCCATGTTCGACTCCTGACTGAAGAAGTGGGGGGGGGGGGTTAAAACTATTTTTTTCAAATAATTTGTTGATTAGACACAGGGTCAGTAGTGAAACATTAGCCTAATTAATATTTTCCGATGTGACGATGGAGTGGGCTTCGGAGGACGAAATCCACATGGCCTGGGTTTGTTCTTCAAGGATTATAAGCTGTTTCCCAACAGCAAATCGCCTCTCTCCACGCACAAATCGCCTCTCTCCACGCCACTGGATAACCCAAGGGAACATCATTGGATGATGCAGCTTGGCACCAGTGACGTCGCAGGAGTTGTCGGAATGTTTCATTGTATCAATGTTATCCGCCTTTCGGGACTCCATCTCCGGGTTTGATTTCAGAGTTTCCATCTCTTAGATGAGTTGCCATCCAGGGTTAAGGAGTCCCATCCACCCGGGGTGCTGGTGATGGTTTTGCTTGGAATCGAACTCCAGACTACCAACTTGAGATTTGTTCAGTTTAGACCACTCGGCCACCCAGCACCCTACAAATTAATATTAGACGTGAACAAACTACGATGTCAAATGCAAATGGAGGTAAATTACATTATTTCTTAATATTTGTACACAGAATACATTACATGTTACGTTAATAATAATAGTGGAGAATTATCACTAATTGATATTTCAAATTTAATTGTTCAAAATTTTCTTGATGCCCCTTCACACTCGTCACCTTCAGTGGCTCGGTCGTCGACCCCAGTAGTGTAGGAAATGGTGATAATGATTGAGTGTATAATATATATTTATTATTTAGGTGGTTTAATATAGCGCAGTACACCAGTCTAGGGCTAGGCTCACTTCGCGTAACATAAAAATTAGCAGTTACAGACAATTAAACATTTAAAAACAACAATTGGTAAAAGGTTTAACCTCACCCACCCAAGTATTATCTGCCCCTGTCAAGCCGTGGACAGCACCCACCCAAGTATTATCTGCCCCTGTCAAGCCGTGGACAGCACCAACCCAAGTATTATCTGCCCCTGTCAAGCCGTGGACAACACCAACCCAAGTATTATCTGCCCCTGTCAAGCCGTGGACAGCACCCACCAAGTATTATATGTCCCTGTCAAGCCGTGGACAGCACCCACCCAAGTATTATCTGCCCCTGTCAAGCCGTGGACAGCACCCACCCAAGTATTATCTGCCCCTGTCAAGCCGTGGACAGCACCCACCCAAGTATTATCTGCCCCTGTCAAGCCGTGGACAGCACCCACCCAAGTACTATCTGCCCCTGTCAAGCCGTGGACAGCACCCAGCAGCATCGAGCGTCGTTTATCAGTAAGAAGGGGTGAGAATGAGTCGGTAGAGTAGAGTTTGAAGAGATGGGGATTGAGGGCAGTTTTGAAGGCTGTGATGGTCAGTATATTGCGGATTTGTAATGGGAGAGAATTCCATTGTTTGGGAGCACAGAAAGAGAAAGATCTTTCACCATATGTATTAGTTCGTGCTCTGTGAACATAAATCATATGCGTGTCTGCGGAGGAACGAAGCTTTCGAAGGGGTGAATGGACAGAAAGAAGTTCAGTAGATAATATGAAAGGCAAGATTCAATGACCAATGGCTTACGAAACCGAACCTGGAATGACAATATCGGATGCACTTCTTGCAAGAGATCCGTGACTTATGGTTAATGCTATAATTGTGCAAGGGCTTTATTTCGCGTATCTTTTGCCTATTTGACTCCCTTAAAAACTGCTGTTCACAATAATGATTTGATTCGAGCTTTCAAAACATAAACCTTTTGCTTAAGTCCTTACATCGCAGCCACGGCGTCCATAGGTCTTGTCCCTTTTGCAAACTCCCCATACAGCAGATCCTTTGGAATACGTCCTTCCCCCATTCTCCTGACATGGCCTAACCAGCGAAAGCGTCTCTTGCTAAGAGCGGAGAACAAAAATTTTTTGGCACATTCTAAAACCTCTGTGTTAGGCATCTTGTCCTACCATCTAATCCAGTGGTTCTCAACCTTCCCAATGCTGTGACCCTTTAATACAGTTCCTCATGTTATGGCGACCCCCCTCCCCCGCCAAAAATTGTGTTTGTTGCTACTTCATAACTGTAGAGCATATGTGTTTTCTGATGGTCTTAGGCGACCAATAGGTTGAGAACCGCTGATCTAATCATTTGAAAAATATTTTAGAGTTTGGCCATTTTAGGCATTCCAAAAGCTTAATTTAAAATTAAAAAACACTTAAAAGCAATATTTCTCGTATAATTTCTTTATAAATTTTAATATTGAGCAATTGGGGGAGGGGCTGAAAATTTGACAAAACATACATGTAAGTAAATCACTTTATGAGAATCCCAAATCCCAATGAGTGCCCTCCCCCCCCCTCTGTTATCATTGGCATCGAGTCTAAGTGCCAAGCTTCAGCTCGATAGGATGACGGGAAGTGGGTCAATTAGCCTTCCGAAGATTTTGCCACATTAAATAAATAAACACACGTACAAGAGCTAAGTTAATATAAAGGATTGTTCAATTAAAAATGTTTAACATAAAAATTAATTGTTACAAGAGGGGGATTACTATTGTAAACGTTTGGTTTGAAAGTAGATTTCGGGTGAGGAGTGAAGTAAATGAAGAAAGGAAAAAGTTCATATATATTTTAATTATTATAGATTTTAATAATTTTGCGAAATATTTTCTTTATAATCAGTCACTGTAGCCACTGTGTCAAGATGGCGTCGCCCTATGACAGTATTAATCAGCTTGTCAATGAAAATGCTTATGAAGAGTTTATGACTGCTTCCAAAATATTAATTAAGTTTGCTGTTAACATTTTAGAAAATCCCTCTGAATCAAAATACAGGCGGATTCGCATTTCAAATCCCACTATACAAAATAAATTATTAAATGTTGCTGGAGGAATGGAATGTTTGTTTGAAATGGGATTTCAAGAGGCGGAGGTAACCTAACCGTACTTGACTTTATAAAAGTAATTTAACTCACGGTTTATGATGATAAGTGAGTCAAAGATTTCACATCATTCGTCATATGTAATCTATAAGGTCAATTTATGCATTCCGCACCACTTTGAGATTCTGTGTGGAATTCTGTCTACTTTTGTTTATTATTAATTTGGTACTCCGCCGAAGCAAAGGACACGCCTGGTAAATTTGTATCGGAAGTGGGCATCGGCAATAGAATCCGAGTTTTTAATTTTTTCATGTGCATGTAATTTGAATAAATTAGGAGTCCTTTTGGCCCATAATTAAGGTCTGACTCCACCCATTAACGTTAGGAGAAAGGCAGTGTCTACACGTCCGGCGCGCCGGACGTCTATCTCCCGCACTATGTGTCCGGCGACCAAGTCACATGACCGCCGTAACAAAGTGGCGAGAGATATCGTGTCGGTCAGCCTTGTCACGTGACTGCGAATAATTCAAAACTATTGTTAATTTTAAAATCTATTTCTCTACCAAGTAATGTACTGAGTATCTTGAATGCAAATAATAGAAAAAGAAACTTAAGTGAAAGTGGCTTGTAAACATTTTTGTTTAGTTTGTTATTTTTTGTGTACCAGTAATCCATAAAATAAATTAGGGGCCAGTGTGGCAACCAATAAAAGTTAAAGATTTCATTTTAAATTATTTCAATTGCTACAAAATATTTAAAAACTTCTCATGAAACTACTGTTGCTGAGGAACATGATAATATAAATATATACAAAATATTTTAACTAAAATGGGAAGAAAAAAAACGACCCTATCACCGGTATAGATCCTCAAACATTCCTATCGTCAAGCAACCACTCTACCACAAGACCAGACAAGATGTACTAAATCGTACTTCGTTTGGAATTATAAAAACTACTAGCCGTCCGGCCATGTCCGGCGGTCACGTTACAAGTCGCCGGACGTGTATCTTGCGCACTACACGTCCGGCGCGCCGGACGTGTAGACACTTCGTAGGAGAAATGTTGAACTACATTCCCATTGAGTTATTGAGTTAATTTTTTCTTTACATCAACGTTAAGTAAGGAAAAACGTATGCCAATATAAGGCATCTTCGCATTAAAAAATTCGGTCTAAATATTCAAAGTAGTTCTTTCATATTAAAAGTAGGCCTGCATTATAATTTGTTGAAGTACGTCATGTGTGCAAAATTTCATTGAGATAGCTCATGAAACATTTTCTCAATTCTCCTCAACGTTGACCTCATTATGCAAAGGTCGCACAGGCCATTTTGGATTAGTGATCCCGCCTCATTTTAAATGGCGGAAAACGCAGATACTTAGCTTAGGAAATATTCATTATCTCTATAGACATCAAAATATTCGATAACTTGTGTTTCAGAATGCATTTTGAAGACATTTAAACTAGAATTTTTAAATTTGAGCTTTAAAAACTCAGTAGAGTCCATATTATTAGCGATCAGAATTGACCGTGTGCAAAAAGTCATGGGAAACCGTTCACAGCCATTTGCATAATGCTATGCCGTAGTACTACAGACTACGGTACCTCAAGTTTCATTCATAAGAGTTTGCCGTGTGCAAAAACTATTAACACCATTGGTCAGGGAAAGCTTAATTAACTAGTCATGTGCCAAATTTGAAAGTTCAAAATAAGTAGATACCAAACAACATTTTAAGGGGTGCATTGCCTTATATAGACTATATAGCATATACCAGTATAATGGACATTATATTAAATTTACCGATATAAATAGTGCATAGTTAGATAAGCTGCAATTTATCTATAATGGTTAACATTATTAAACTTATTTTTTTTAATACAGCATTAGTTCTGAAAATAAAATTATCATTAAAACAAGAGTTATATAGCTCGTGACGTGAACAGCGGAATTGGGTACCAGAAAATGGAGATGCGGTCCATGTTAAAAAAGGACAAATTAAGTCCTACTTTAAAAATTCATAACTTTAAAACTACAATAGCTAAAAATATGATTTTGGTGTTATAATCTTTTAAAAAATTAGCTTTATTCAACTATGCCAATGGTTTATTTTTACAATAAGTTTTAATTTTCTAATCAAAGTACCTATATTAATTTTATTAATATAATTATTGTTTAATATTAATTGTAACTATTTCGTTATTTAACGGACAAATTGGATGCTTGCGGGCCGTATGTTGTTCAGGCCTGCGCTAGATATGTGGAAAGAAGTGACAATGACCTGCGGTCACTCCCTTCCCTCAACTAAAACGTGTGTGCTACAGTTATACACTGTAGTAGAAAAACAGTGCAAAATAATTTTTTAATAATGAAAACCCAATTTAGAGTTTCATAGAATACACTTTTACACACTTAATTGCAGGTTCCACCAAAAATAAAATCCAAAAGTTGTCAGAAAAATCAATACAATACGGTACCGATTAGCCAAAAAAGAAAATTTAAATATTACAATCAACTACCCAATGAAACTGTAATTAAAACATTTCATTGACTTATTATTATTTTTAATAAAAGGAAAATTAACTCTAGTTACAATCCAATAATAAAAAGACCCAGAGAAAATCCGACACTGAAACTCATAGTGGCGCCCCGAAGTAACATTAGCCATGTGCTTCTGTTAATGTTAACTTTATGTTATGACGACTTACGTTTTTAGTGTTAAAGACATTAATAAGTAGGCACTTCGGTTACAGTGAGAAAAACCTGAATATAGCGTTCTGTAAATTCGTTGTCAGACATTTAACCTTCACTTTTTTAATTGACTCAGGGTGAGGTTTTTTAAAAAAAATTTTGTAGTAAATTATAGATTTTACTTTACACTGAACCGAAAAGAATAAAAAGTCATTATTTTTTACAGGAAACTTTTTTTTTTTTTAAATAAAAAAAAAAAAAAAATTTGATCTTTTAAAATTGAAGGTAAAAAAGGTTAACTTTACAAATTATCTGACTCCTGCCTAAGCTACTTAAATAAAAACTTCCCCTCCTGCCTAAGCAAAGGGGCATAACTCTTTTTTAAAAATGTATATGTAATTTTTATTTTTTTAAATTTTAAAATAAACAAGCAATGTCATTGTTATTAAATTTTTATTAAATATGAAAATTAATTAAATATTATATTCATGATTAAAAAAAAAACTGTTATTTAGAAAATAACCTGTTAATTATAATATCTGAAGTTAACTATCCCTGCATTTTCAAAAGGCTGCGGCTTGGTCAGAGAAGTTAGAGTTTGGTTATACCGGTATTAAAAAAAACTTAAAAATTATTGTAGGGTTTGTAAGATAAATTTTGGTGTCAAATGAAAGATAATTGAATGGACTATATGTTTGTAAACTCACTTCTTAAGTTTAATGAAAATAAACTACTACAAATGACATCCAAATAGCATTTAGTCAAAATGGAACGGGAAACGCATCGCCACTATTTGGACCCAGGTCCCTTTAGACTCAATGCTATTCGGATATCACTTTTGGTAGCTTATTTCAGTTAAATTGAAGAAATAAGTTTACTTGGTGAAAGAGTGTCATGTGTGGCCATCCGCCTGTCATGCCACAATCTGGCATTGTCGGCATGAGCTGGTGGGATAATGGGAGGCGAAAGAAGGAGGGGGGGGGGGGGGGGGGCCTCATGGCAGTCAACCTGTATAAAAAGAATGTGTGTATTTAGTTGATCATGTCTTCTATGGCTGTAAATATGTCAAACAATGAGTGTAGAGCATGTGTGAGAATGTCAGAAACTATGTCAAGCAATGGGTGCAGAGCATGTGTGAGATTGTCAGAAACTATGTCAAACAAAGGGACCATTTTAGGCTATTTAATTTGTCTTTATGGCGTCCATGTTTGTCGGCACATTACCTATTATTGAAAGCGGATTTGGGGTGGTTAATAAATTCATTTAATGGGTCATCCAGAATATAAATTGGAAAGATAAATAATAATTAATTTTAATTGTTTTGAATCAAAATAATTAATTTTAACATAAATTAATTGGCTGATCAGTGGTTTAAATTTTGGATTGGTTGCCACGGATGGATAAACATTTTTACTTCATTTAAATAGGCTCACATTTTATTTTAAAGAATATATATTAAGCTGATTATAATAGTTTTATAATAATGTAAGGCTCAAATGACATCCAACAAAATCAAACTTTGGTTTCTTCAGTTCAATGAAACAAAAATAATATTAAATCTACAATAACTTAAATAAAGTTACAAGCTTTAAATTAAAGTTTTTGTTTGTGGGGCTTGCATCTTGATTGTAATTGTGTGAGAATCGCTGACAATGTGGATGTTTTTTTTCTCTTTTATTAATACAAATAATTGCATGATTTAAAAAAAAATTAATGTGTTGCACACCACACCAAATTTAAGCTTTGTATCTTTAACATTTAATAAGTTATGTTTCTTTTGCTATAAAAAATGTGTTCTTTAATGAATTTATTAAGGGAAAAAAATAGGAGATTGATGTTCAATTATTTTATTTCAAAAATCAGCAAATTATGTAAATAGGACATTTTTATATTGAGAAATATGCAAGACACATGGGTAATGAGCAGAAAAGTGGATAGAAAATACAGGAAAACTCATTTGAGGTCTGCTCTAAAGAATTCATAACTTTTGAACCACTTGAGCTAGAAAGCTGATCTAGGTTGTTTTTTTGTTGTAAATCATTATATAAATTATATTGGCTCTATTCAACTGTACTATTTTAGAAATATTTGGAAAATTTCACCAAAGTACCTACATTTGAGTTAAAGTCATTGCACTTGAAGAGTTTCTCAGTAAAGATGTTCATCCTCACCTTAGCGCAGTGATTTCGGAGAGTATTAGTATTTGGGAGAATGAAAACTAGCGGTAAAGGCAGGAGCAGGTTAAATATTAATTTGACAACAAACTAAAAAATGATGTCCTCTGCCTTTTTTTTTCTTCATTATTTCGAATTATAAATTCATTTCAGGATGGTGAGTGTCTGATGTTACCAAACACTGCCAGTTTGCTTACCTTAAAAAGAATGAAAGAAGACTTGAGCAGATCAAGAGAGAAGTTAGAGTCACCGAATCAAAGTGTAAAAAGCAGTAATCAGTCAACACTATTGGGTGCCGTTGGGGGTGTAGGTACTGTTGGGGGTGAGGGTGCTGTTGGTGTGGTTGCCTCACAGCCCCGGAATCACACCCAGACAAGCAGATTAGCTCAGTCGTATTTGGTAAGTAAGAGTTTTAAGAATCTTAAGTTTAACTAGAGTCTAAACCTTTTTTTTTTTTTTGGTCACCTCTTTAGTTGAGCATAAACTGAAATTGAAAAAAATTTAAGGCTCGTATACATTTATTTCTAGAATTCAACAATTATTCATACAGCTCAGTAGTAACAGTCTTGTACCAATATTTATTGAGACTTTTAAATTAAAATGATATGTTATTCCTATTCAGGAAACTGAGGCAGCTTTTTTGAGTAGATTAAAAGATGGAATGAGGCGTGTTATGAATTATGAAAAGCCAGAACTACAACAGAAAGCCAGAAACATTATTCCTTGTGAACAACTTCAATCAGAAGCTCGATTAAAGTATGAAGCTAACGCTAGGCCCTCACCAAATCTGGACATTAGGGATTATTTACTGCTGTCATTGCTTCATTGGTTTAAGACCTCATTTTTTCACTGGGTCGACACATTGCCTTGTTTTCGCTGTAATGGTCAAACTCAAAACACTGGCTATACAGCCCCATCTGCCGATGATATGCGGTGGGGTGCAAGTAGGGTAGAATCTCACCAATGTAATGTCTGTGGACACACAAATAGATTTCCTCGGTACACTAATGCTGAAAAATTGCTGGAGACTTGTAGGGGAAGATGTGGTGAATGGGCAGAATGCTTTACTTTGTGCTGCAGAGCTTTAGATTTTGAGGCAAGGTATGTCATGGACTGGACAGACCATGTGTGGACAGAAGTGTACTCAAACTCTCAGTCTCGTTGGTTGCACTGTGATCCCTGTGAAAACATATGTGATAAACCCCTTCTTTATGAATCGGGCTGGGGGAAAAAACTGACTTATGTTATTGCCATGTCAAAAGATGAAATCCAGGATGTTACTTGGCGTTATGTTTTAAAACATCAAGAAGTGTTGGCGAGGCGAACACTTTGTCGAGAGAATTGGCTTCGTCGCACCATTCATCAGCTTTGGAAACAAAAAATTTCAACTTTGACAGCAGAAAAACAAAAGCAGCTGTGGCATAGATTAATTTGTGAGTTGACAGAATTTATCACGATCAAGAATGAAAATACAGAACATTTGCCCGGTCGTTCAACTGGCTCCTTAGTTTGGAGGGAAGCTCGTGGAGAGCTGGGAAGAAGTGCTCCTGGTCAACAAACTGTGCTAAATAATTTTGTTTTTCGCCCCACAGAAGCAGAACGTGAATGTGAACTAATTCATGTAACTTACAATTGTGCAACAGATAAATACATCCGCATTTCTAGTGACAGTGAACAACGTATGGGGTGGCAGGCATGTACGTTTTCAGCCCAAGATGTTTTTCGTAAGGAGGAGCTCGACTGGAGAATGGCTTATTTAGCACGTTGTGAAGGATCGGCCTACGCCGAGGTGGTCTGGAAATTTGACTTGACTGGTAATTGAGATCTTTTTATGCAGATAAAATACTTGTTATTCCTTATTCACACATAGTCTATTTAGTCTCTTTCATCCACTGTCAATGACATCCTATCCAACATCTTGTCTTCACACTGTCACATTTTAACATTAATGCCCACATCCATAGTATTATATATTTATTATTTTTCCCTCTCAGATACAGACTTGAGAATAAGCAAAATGGAACTGAAAGCAGAGTCAGCTATTTTTGAAAATGGTGCCATTAGCTGGCGTCTCTGTGCTGGAGACAATTGCTTCATGCAAAATGGTACAGTGTTTATTGATTGTATTAATTACAGTGTTTACCAAAATAATATATTTCTAAAATTTTACTATAACAAATCAAAGTTACAAACAATTCTTGTATTTCATTCTTTTAAAAGAAGATTACAAAACATACTATAATTATTTCTAAAATTTTACTATACGGTAACAAATCAAATTTGCAAAGTATTCTAGTATTTCATTCTTTTAAAAGAAAACTACAAAATATACTATAATTATTTCTACCCTTAGAATACTGCAGTACTTTTTTTTCCTATCGTACTAGGAGCATCTTTAAATACTTTGATGACCTTTGACCTTCATGGCTGTCAGACTCTGACTATAACTGCTGTTTTACAAGGTGGAAGAGGAGAAAATGCCTGGCAACATGCTCAGCTTTTTAGGCAATCAACCACTGATATAGAGAATTGTCCATTTGAGCTTAAGCTTTTCTTGAATTGAATTTTGCAGCCATATTTGATTCTAGAGTGATAAAAAGTGATGCACTTTTAAGATATGTAATAACAAAATAATTGTTAACAAAATTGCAAATTTCTTATGTCAGAAATTATTGAGTTAAATTATGTTTAGTTTCCTTCCACTGTTACAGATACCGGTAGTTTTCCTACAGCATTTACCAAGCAACATGATTCTGAGAAGGAACATTTAATTTAAATTAATTGTATTCATTAATTTGTGAGCCATACCAGTACTCTGATCATAGCTATTTTCTATGCAAAATAATTAAGTTAGATTATCTAACTCAAGGTAACTTACCTTACAGTTCTTTTTAAAACTTAATGTTTATAAAATGTGCAATATAATAAATATTTTAATGTTGAATTTGAATTAAATATTAATAATTTATAATAGCTATCTAAATATATAGTACTTAGTAGTAGGATACAACAATAACAAAGGTAATATAATTAATCTATAAGATAATATTAAAATATTTCTCTGATTCAAATTCAAAGGGTTTTTATTTTCTAAGGAAGATAGTATCAGTTTTTAAGCTTATAGAGAAAAGAACTTTTAGTGTATAGAGAAAAATGAAAAGTATTATGGCCAAGATTTCAACATTATTAGATGATACCATAAAGGGTATATCACACTTTTGAAAATATGTGGATCAATTCATAAAATACATTGACCGAAGTGTGTAACTGTAATCCTGATGGTATAAAGTCCAATAAGTGTTTAGGCTATGCAAGAGTAACCTAATAAAAACTTGAAATATAACAACTTAATTAGTAAAGCATTAAATTAATAACCTTTTGTTGCGTTGCGATATGCTTATTAGTTTACCCTTTTGCATTATGGATTGAAAATACCCCTGAATTATATTGATATACACTATTTTCCTGTTAGATTAATCACAAACTTTTCTGCGCTCATTAATTTCATTAAAGGAGTGAATTGTTGAGCAAATGTTTCTGCGGTCATTTGTTTTGATTAAAGGCTGCATAAATTGTGAAACACAATATTTAAAATGTCGATTTAAATGTTTTTTCTGAAATTAAGTTAATCCCTTTCTTTTCTGTTACTGGTCAAGTCATGCTTGGTTTCTCTATTTGCTTTCATGAAATAAAATCATGACTGACCACCCAATAATGCTCCCAACTTCTTGGTATCATTGTGATAAGCTATTTATTCCTCTTACTCTTATGCTTCAACCTGCTGTCAACAAATCGCATGCTATGTCTATTATTACTTGTAACCAGGATATTTGTGAGTTGTTTATGTATGCGCTCAAGGATTATAAATGGTCAAGGTACATAAAAGAACCATCCTGTTAAAGTGAACTGGACTCTTTTTTTACATACCGGTATAAGAAAACCAGGCTTAGGACTATGACGGTGGGTAAGCCCTTAAAGAAATCCATGAAAGAACACCAGCTTGAACAACTAAATATTACTACAATATGGTGGTGAGATTTTTATTTGTTTGTATTTAAATTATTTTAATTTTCAGTTTATTTACCATCAAAATAATCAAATTATTCAAATAATATTTTTATGAGAAGATGAAGGGCTATTTGAAAATGTCTTGTTAGTTTTATATGTACCGGTATTTGCCATTCTTGTATTACACTTGTGTACAATGCAGTAATCATATGGCGATTAATGCATTCAATTTCAATCGATTAAAATCTCTATCACTTACTAATAAGAATATTATTATTTTGCCTATTTTAGCGATTCCTTAACTTCAACCCACTTATTGAACTGAAGCTTATTACCCGATTCCTCAACTTCAATCCACTCATTGCACTGAAGCTTAATACCTGAGACTTTTTATAATAGAAATCATTTGCTAAATTAGAATACACATTCTTATTTCAAGAAAAAAGGTGTGTGTAAAGCAAGTGAAAATATAAACATCTTATAAAGTATTGGTATAGGGCACTGTTGTTTATTGGAAGCACACAATGTTACAGCACACTTTGTTACATACAAACATGAATAATTTCCTACCAATAACTCGTAAGTGTCAATGGTCATGTAACAATACCCACATTTACAGGGAAATACAAATACATTCATCACTTCATGCTACATCCTTCTATAATGGTGGGGACTAGTATTAATGAGTGTTTCATTCAGCATGTCATTAGTTCACAAAAAAATGTACCGTAAAAAGAAATGCCTTTTTCTGTGACACATGAAAATTTAACAACCAAACATACTGGTACAATAGAGTATGTCAACATCTACGCATAGTTGGAAAGTGCAGACCTATACTCATACTCTTAAATAAGAATGCATTAATGTGAGCTAATTCTTACAAAGGAATGTTCACATTTCCATTATTGAAAATGGATAAACATGAAAGTATAGAAACATGAATTAAGAGGCTGATTTATGAGCAACCCAGTAATTAGAATTTGTCTTTGGAAATTAACAAAAAATCTCAAGAAATAATTGTATGTTTACTTACAAATGTATTATAAATGGCATCATCAGAGAGGAGGCCCAAATTATTGAACTGAACAGAAGTTAATGTGTTTGAGCTATCACAGCTGGATGAATGCAGATAAGAAATAATTATTTGAGCAATCAAACTAACCAATGAAAATCATCATGTATTGCACAGTCCCATCTGCTAGCCTCATACTAAAACATTTACTGCATTTAACGTTAACTGAGTGACTATTATTTATTAGTGTAATTTTTCCCCTCTTGAAAATCATGATAATTTCTGAGAATTGCTTTTTTTTCTCCTTTAGCTTAGAGTGTCATCCACATTTGTAGTAAAGTAGGTGTGGTAGAAAAGTCTTTTACAGGGGTCAAAAAAATTGTGTGACATTATACACGAAAGACCCACCTATACGTGATCATATGATTATAAATGTAATTTTTTAGGACACAATTCAAACTAATATTTAACACAGGGTTTTTCAACCTCCAAGGGGTTTGAAGTGGCAATTCAGGGGTTGCAAGGCTAAATGATTTACTATCTGGCAATGCAGAAAATTTATAAAATGAGTGATGAGCATCACAACCTTTTCTCCCCTATCATAAGAAGTCTCTCCGCACTACCCTGACTGCTGGATCTATCTGTGCTGCTGTACCCACTTGACATGTCCCTGTTTGCTGGCTGACGATCAACAACCTCTGATGCTCCACATCCTTTATGCTTGCCGATTTCTTCCATTAAAATAGTCTCATACTTTCTGGCACTCGTCACAGTCTCCGAGCCTTTAGATCCCTTTCTCACCTGAACTTCCAAATCAACAGCTTTTATGTTTTTACTCCGCCTTTTTTGGTCCATTTTTATCCTAGTATGTAATAACACACAAATAAATATTAAGGAAAGCTCTTATAAAGGACAGGAATAGTAGAACAAGGTATGTGGAAGCTGGAATCGAAAGACAGGACAATAACATAAGAACATCTTAGTCTTAGTCATATTGAACAAGGTAAAATTTCCCCGGTCTCATCCCATTTCATCGCAGATAAACATGAAGGGACATTAGATGTATCCATTACAGCCCTGATTTCCTGTACCAACACACCAGAGAGAGTTAAAATTAAAATGGACAACAAATTAATTCAGCTTTTCAGCACAATATCACCATATGGTATTAATCAAATACTCTCCTACTCAATTTCCTTGTATTTCTTTCCATATTTCTTATAAGGTACGGGTATTTTATATATCTCCAAAATATTTTGTTCCGTTCAGATCTTATTTTTCACAGTCAATAATAATACATAAATTCTTTTACTTCCTGTAATCTTGGCTTTGGAAAATCCAACTTCCCGCAATACCAATGGCGGTCACTAAAGTTTTTAACTAGTTTCTGTTTCTTGTCATATTTTCATTTGTCCTGTATGCTGAGGAAGGCTCTCAGCCTAAACATTCTTATCTTATTGTACTGTCTTTTAATTCAAGCTTCCACATACCTTATTCTACATTTCCTTCACATATCTTGAACACTCCTTCATTCATTATCCTTTTTAAAGGACAGCTATTCTATTAATAGAGAAGACACTAACATACTGAAAACATGAAAATATTGCAGTTGTCTCAGATTTGATTGAGAATTCAACACTTATTTTCAGTTATACAATAAATAGTAATTTATTAATTAATGAATTATTATCATCAATCTTATTACCGGTATCATTTTTTAATTCCGATTATGGAATTATTTATCTAATATTAAGGATGACCAGCAGAGCTAAAAATCTGAGTACCGGTATGAACAATGCATCACAATCAAATCTCTAAGTCAACTTTAGAATTGAGGAGAAGTACAGTGTGGAAGAAAAGACTAATCACTAAAGAAATGGCATGAAACTGCTTAAACTTTTAAAAGTCACTAATGTATAAACTAATGCACATGATCCCATATTTTGTATTCAACAGCTACAGCTACCATGAGAAACTTAAGTTCTTTGCAGAGTTTTAAGGATCTTTGCACCAAGAAATACTTACAGTCGGATAACCTTGTCCAAAAGTTCCATATATTTGACAAATTCATCTTCTCCAAACTCCTATAAAAATATTATGATTTTTGTGATGTAAGTTAAAAATGGTGCTCTAATAGTACCGGTATAGAAAACCCTTATTTCAGTACCGGTATACTACCTATATATGAAAATACAGTTACTGTGATGTTATGGTCAAGCTATACCAGTATCTCTTCTGTTTACAATTGGTTATTGATATACAGTTGTAGTAGGCTTGTACAGATTAGCACGCTGGCTTATGATCAATCAAATTGCTTTTTTACATCAATTATTTGATCAGTAAATTTGTACCGGTAATATACTTTAAAAATGCTCATGTAATAAACTGTAGATAATTTAGTTTGATATTCCATATTTAACCACAACCGGTATTTAATTTACGTCATAATGGACGTGATTTAGTCCTAAAGTGTACACTGTGCAGAGTTGGATGCAGATGGAGGCCCATCAAAATCAAGGCGTAACGAGCAGAAGTAGAAGGTATACCAGCAAATACCCCAACTCTCACTACAGCACTCGTTTTGGGGAGAATAAATTAGTGACATTATTTATAGAACTGAGTGACCAAATAAAGATGCCTAATTGAACAACAGTAAATTTAAAGAAATGTTGACTTTGTGGAAGGGTTAAAAATTAAATGGCTTTAAAATAGTTACCGGTACAGTAATTAAACTCCACCATCACCCTGACATATGACTTCACGTTCTTCAGCTGCACTGATCTGACTATATTTATAAATTTTACTAACCGCCGGGCTGTGCCTTGCATGAAGATACCAGCGAGCAAATTGTTCAATTATTGTTGCCTCTTTACTATCCACAGCACTAGGGCACAAACAGTAGAGAAAAAGCTGAATCGTTTGCTTGGCTTCTCTCCTGGGTATTGAGGGCTCCATTAGCTGAAGAGTGGTGACTGCCATAAAAAAAAAAATTAATTTAATTTAAGTACAAATTGGAACAGATGCAAATAGGGAATTGAAATAAACATACATATTTAATGTCATTTAGAGAAAAAATTACAGTCAAAAGTAACTGATAATTGAGAGTATTAAGGTTTAAATTTAAAGCACCAAAAACCCAAAAGGTCTCTCAGCTACCAATGATATAACAAAAAGCTAGATATGATATATAGGTACCAATGATATCATAACAAAAAGCTAGATAAACAGTGCATCATTTTTTACCTGCATTTGAAAATGCATCCAGAGCTTTCATGCGGTAGTAATATGTGTTTTCCACTAAAGAAAAAAATGAATGCAAATATTTATTAAATATTCCAAAATTATTACATTGTTTTCTTAAATAAGATATTATTGTCACAAATAGTAAAATAAATTACTATTGTATAACTAAGGGGACGCCCATTAATTACGTCAAAAATTTTTAAGCAATTTTTTACACCCTCTGTCAACAACTGTCAAACTTTCAATGATTCCCCCCCCCCCAACCCCCCCCCCCCCCCCCCACTTTTAAAAAAATGAATTATAATATAAATAAATTTATAAATACATTTTACTTTGAGCGGATCTATTTTAAAAACATAAAATTTTAGGAAAAATATTTTACGGCATCCTTAGCTTGTTAATCAACAGGTTAAAAAGTTTTTACACTTAAATTTTATTATGCAGAATCAATGAAAAGGTTGTTGAAGACTAAATATCATTGTCTGTGAAAGTATAAATATGAATATTGTCAATATAGCTGAAAATTGTAGCATAGCTTCTAGCTGCTATCATCTCCCCAGTTAGTAGCCAGGTGTGGCTCTATCGTAAAAATGGGCATAGAAGTAGAAGCTGATTTATAACTTGTATCTTACGGATCTGATAGACCAGACAAGTCAACATCATCCTCATCTAACCATTCAGCACTTAAAATAGAAGTATTAACAGTGTGAGTAATAATTGCCATAAGCTCTCTCTGTCTCCTGGCAGCTACTTGCATTAGTCAAATCCGTTTTTGTTGAGGAGCAGGTGGTAATTTCTTATGCATCATCAGTGCTGTTGAACATGCTATTTCAACATGACTTGTGATGCAAAATAGATGTTACAGATTTTGCAAAGCTGTTCAAGCAGCGATGTTATTATTGTTACTCACTTTACTTTCCCCTAATTCTCAAAATATTGTATTCCTACTCTATCAATATCATTTATCTTGACTGCACATGACATTTGAACCTCGACAAAGAAAATCTACAAGCGAAGAGAGGCCAACTTTTGACTTCTCTTGCACTACCGGTAACAAAGTGTGCTAAATTTTTGACCATCAGCAGTGCACAGACAGACACACACTAAATAAATATTATATTGTTAAAAGCCTATAAATTATAAAACTATTGTAATTTACACCCATTAAATCTGTTAAAATAATGTTAGAACCAGTCAATTTTTAAGATTAAAATTTTAATAGAGAAAACATGATTGTTGACGTCAACTAATCTAGATACACACAACCACCTGCTTCAACAATTTTCAAACATTTCCACCCACCCCCCTATTTTGTTGACATAATTAATGGATGGCACCTAAAAGCCAGTGAACAAAAATAACATTATCATGAGACAAAATGAAACTTACTAGACTTGGCTGCATTCTGAACCTGTTCTGACAGTAGAGTTGGTTCAAAACAGAGATTTTCTGTCATTTTTAAACATTGGTGGATCTTCTCTCTCAAAAGCTTTGCAAAATAAAAGTACCGGGTATGTAGAATATTTTTTAAAATAATTATGGAAGTAGGTAAAACTATTTATAAAAATTTAAAAAATAAGTGCATAACACCAAAGTTTAGAAAAGGCTATGGAGACACTAAAATCTAAAAACTTACTTTAGGAGCATCAGATCCTATATTAACATGAGGCTTACGGGCAGATTTTAAAGCAAACCGCATTATTTGCCGTTTTGCAAACAGAAATACCAAAATGAAGAGCTAAAATAAATATAAATGAAGAAAAGAACATAATAATATGAAGGTGGCTTTAGAATAAAAAGTATTAAATTTTCTTAACATTAACTTATTCAATAAATTTAATCCAATGTTTTAAAAAAATTATATATTGAAATATTTTCTCTGTACCGTAATGTTCACCAAAAAATATGTGGACTAGATCTAAATCTAGTGTAGAAAACCTAGAAATGTGTCAGGGCATGTTATTTTGAAGTTATTTAACCTTTTAAGATCTCTAAATATTTTTGGTGTGTTTCAAAGAAACTTACCAGGGCTCCGAAGGCAATTAACAACACAACACGAACAAGAGAGAAGTCGGACATCATTTAAAATTTCATTTAATTTCAATCACATGATTACTGTGGAATTAAAATTTATATTATTAGTGATATATACACTAGTGTTAAGGGGATGAGGTGGCATGAATGGCAGAACTATTTTCCTATATAGGGGCGGCCACTGAATAAATAATATATGCAATTAATATTTCAGATTTATAAATAATGTTTTTTATTACTGTTAGTGTTAGGCCTTTATGTAACCTGTATCAAATCTTACATGATGCAACTTATTTTTTACTCACTGACACTGTGAAGCATTTTTTGAGAATTATTTCTTACTTTTATTTGTTAGCCAAATTTTATAAAAACTTAATGGACTTATATGGGGATTTTAAAAATTCAAATACTTTTTGTATAGACCTACTGTCCACTGACTGTCTTTCTGTACCTAAAACAACTGAAGTAATGAAGACTCAGTTCTGAACTGAAGAGCGAGGGCTACCAGATGCAAAAATGAAACAGGAGGACATTTCAATTTAAATGGAGGACGTTTTATTTAAGATATAAAATTTTATTCTAAAAGAAACCAATAAAATGCTATATTGTACTTTGTACTACTGACACTTTGTTGTTTGACAAAGCAATTTTTTTACTTGAGCTGTATTTTGTTTAAAGTAAGGGAGAGTTGCTCAGCCTCACTCTCTCGACTCTCGTCCTTGCCTATTTGATCAAATGGCAAGGCTTAGTGTAAAGACAGCTGTAAATAGACCTGGATGCAGTGTATCTTGTGTTTCACTTTGCTCTGTGTGTATTTTACGTTGGAAAAAGTGGTCAGAATTTTCATTGTGTCAATGTCATACCCCCTACAGCAGTGGTCCCCAAATGGCGGTCTGTGGACCTTCACCGGTCCGCATGCATAAAGCTGCTGGTCCCCATTACATAAATATTTATTGTCAAATAGAAATAAAAGTATAAAAATAAATCATGCACCGGTCCCTGATAAAATTTTGAAACTTGTTCACCAGTCCGCCAAACTTAAACGTTTGGGAACCACTGCCCTAAAGGACCCCATTTCAGAATTTGCCTTCTCTTAGATTAGTCGCCATCTAAGGTAATTGAGTCTCATCCACCCAGTGTTGGTGATTTTTTTTTTAAAGATATAACTTCTGATAACTATAAAAGTCTGAGCAAGTCATATTCTTAAAATTTTATTGTGGGAGTATTATCACCTTCACTGACTCCACATCAAGTCTATTATGCCATTTATGCTCCTTGGTCCACTGAGTGTTTATCATTATCACTGAAGAAATGAGCAGGAATTTTATAGTTAAATTGTCAGTACTTTTGCACTTTGGCTTATTAAAATATTATCACAAATATAACTCATAGTCATACTTAGAATGTACTAGTACTACTATACAGCTATTAGATAACGAAGTGGCTATTCCGACCCAGCTACTAGAAGTGCGAGGTTGGCCAACAGTTGGGATTAAAAAATGTTTAAAATATTAATGTTGGGTTTGTAGATAAAATTTGGTATGGAATGAAAGATAATTGAATGGAGTGGAAAATGGATCCGGACACGCGTTGCCTCTATTGGGACCCGGGTCCCTTACGACTAAATGCTATTCGGATGTCATTTGTGGCGTGGTAGTTTATTTTAGTTAATCTGAAGAATTAAGTTTATAAACTATAATAATAATATAGTATAGTACCGGTATTCAATTATCTTTCACTTTCATTTGATACCAAATTTTGTCCTACAAAAAAAAAAACATTGGCCCTTAGCCTACGATAATATTTTAATATATTTAATAAACCCAACTTCTCACTTCTGATACCAGGTCCGAATAGCCGCAGCCAATAGATTATTGGCATCATTTGAGTTTTTAAAGAATTTAAAAAAAAATAGTAACACACAATCATTTCATGTTTTCCTCAAAAATTATAATCAATGTGAATGATACATCATTCAAATCATTGATCATTGACATCATTCATACTCATACTATCAATGATAGTAAGTATTCCACTCACTTCACACATACTGTCCTGATTGATAGTCTGTCTAAACCAGTGGTTCTCAACCTTTCTACTGCCGCGACCCTTTAATACAGTTTCTCATGTCGTGGTGACCCCCAGTCACACAATTATTTTCGTTGCTACTTCATAGCTGTAAGGATATGTGTGTTTACAGATGGTCTTAGTCTTAGTCGACCCCTGGAAAAGGGTCCTGCGACCCCCTTGCGACCTAAAGCCTACAGGTTGAGAACCGCTGGTCTAAACTAACAGTTTCGGGGTCAGTGTAGTAGAAACTTAATAAGTCGTAAGTCTCCAAAAGTGGTGCTAATGGACCTTCTTCTCCATTATTAAACATAAATAATGGTGATAAAAAAAAATACAATAGGCTTAGTTTTAGGCCCTACTTACTACTTCACTGACTTCAGTCATAATTTTACATTTCATTATGAATGTTCGCTCCTTGAAAGAAGAGTTCTGTTTAAATTTTTTTAAAACATGAACTCTAATGGCAGTTGCCAGAATAAGTCAGAAGTGCTCTCCTGTAAAATTATTTTAATTTATTATTATTTCCAAAATAGTTAATTACTATTGATTTAGCTGAATAAACACCCAATTTTAAAAAAGAATAAAATTTAAAAAAATATATAATAATTAGGTTCTTTACATCTCTCAAGAGCAGAGTGGCGCAGTGGAAGCGTGCTGGGCCCATAACCCAGAGGTCCGTGGATCGAAACCACGCTCTGCTAAATATTTTTGTTTGTTTTCTTATAATTTTTCTTTTATCTCTGCCCTTATTTCATCAACACAATCTCAATCTATATGAAAACTTATTAGTTAACAAACTATACAGCACGCCAAACATGGCCGAAATGAGTGAATTTTGCATCTAGTAAGATTGCATGATTTATAAGTTTCCTACTTGGACTTGGTGCTGCTGCCGACCCTGAATTAATATTCTAATGTCCCACCCACTTTGCACATTAGATTAATTACACCAATAGTTATAGCCCGCCTAACAATGGGGACGGCAATGCGACAACTTTCAATCTGCTAAACTAACGCTACTTGACTGAAAACAAAGCACTGGGATAACGCACTTCATAACTGCATCTTCAGTCTGGGACCCATTTACCCAGAAGAACGTTGACAGGTTGGAGGCGGTCCAGCAACCAGCAGCACGCTTTGTCCTAAACCCCTACAGGAATAGCTCTAGTGTTGGCAGCATGCTGGAAACACTAGGCTGGTCACCATTGGAGGAACGACGACGACAATCCTGACTCTCCATGATGTACAAGATAAATAATGGGCTGGTCCACTGTTCCAGTATTAAACAGAAACTCGTCCCTCTCCCCCATAGACAGCGACGAGGCCATGACAGGCAATTCAGGCTCAACGACAATCCTGACTCTCCATGATGTACAAGATAAATAATGGGCTGGTCCACTGTTCCAGTATTAAACAGAAACTCGTCCCTCTCCCCCATAGACAGCGACGAGGCCATGACAGGCAATTCAGGCTCATACCAGCAAGAAGCCAGTATAGGAGCTGCTCATTCCTGCCCAAGACAATCAGAGACTGGAACAATCTTTCAAAAGGAACGGTTTAGGCGACAACACTAGACACATTTGTGTCTATTACCTCAAGCCTTCAAACCCCTAGTGCATGATTCCCTCACAAAGTGGCACTGGAAATCAGTGAAATTTCCTCATAAACACCAGGAACAGAAACATTGCAAATCCCATCTACATGCATAGGAGCCAAAATGATCAATAAATTGATCATGGGCCCTTAAGATATAGAAGAAGAAAATAAAAACACGCACGTGTTTAAACATATCGTAACGCGTCGATCTGCCCACTCAATGGTAACGATGGTGTTTTTGGAAATGAACATTTGAATCGAGACACAATTTTATTTGTTTTGGCACGTAGCGTCGGACAAGCCTGGCGAAACACACAAAATAATTTGGACATCAACCGACGTTCGTTGATACACGGATCGGGGAAGGGCTGACAACGTCAGACATTCACTGAGCTCTTGGGAGCATCTTTACTTTGTTTTTTTGTTTTTTTTCTCCCAAATTTATTTGATCTAAAAGGTTAGTATGTATGCATCATCAGATGTTACAAGTATGGTATAGTGAAAGTGAAAAGAGTGAGTAAAAAACCCAACTAATTTAGTTTTTTTTGAAAAATATGAATACATAGATGAGATTAATAGTTTGATAAAATTATTCTGTATGGGCTTTATATATTGATGTTTCATGATTGTTGGAACACAAGTCCTGACACCATTAACACCATAATAATGTTGCATATCAATAATTGAAGTATGTTATAACTCCATGCACAACTTTCATTTGACCTCATGCATATTTATAATATCGATTACCAATTACAATATCGATTACCAAGAATCGAGATTTCTCAGACTGCTTTGTTTTGTTAATAATTCCAAGAGGTTGCCTTCATTAATTATTAATTACGGTACCTACTAATATAAACATAACCATTTGTTTTGCAAGACTGAAAATTGCAACAGGTCTAGTTTTAATATACTGAGAAACTTTAGAAAACGTGATTATAAAGTGATACACTAAAGCAACTTTTATAGAGCACATTTAAAAAAACAACAACTAACAGTTGACTGAGGATTAAAAATGACTTATATAAATATGTAAGAGTTTATTGAAAGGTAATTGGTCTATTTGTAACTAACTGTTTATTGACAAATAATATAATAATAATAAAGTTTATTTCAAAAACACGCTTCATCCCCAAAGGCTCGAAGCGGGGTACAAAGTCAACAACAACAAAAATATATATAATTTACCATATTTAAAACAAACGCAACACTACAAAAACTTATTACAAGCATACCAAGTCAAAGTCTTTCTAGCCATTTCAATATTAGTGGTCTATCTGTAACTAACAACTAATTGAAAAATTTAACGAAAAGTTTATTGAACTATTTAACTAACAGTTAACCTGTAAAAGAAATCACTCCATTGGAATAAAAGAATATTTGAAATATAACTCTCAAACACAAAATGTATTTCCTCCTCCCCATTGGAGACATTAGAAATGTAACTCTCAAACCCACAATTTATTTTTCCTCGCCCCCATTGGAGACATTAGAAATATATTTCAAACAAAAACTTTTGTTATTCATGTTCACCTTTTTATTTACAGAATAAAAGTCAGGATAATAATAAAGGTATTTTAAATAAACATGTCAGCCAATAATAAGTGGTGCAGCTCTGATTACTTACAAGGAATACAAAACCTGTCCCCATGTACAATATTGATATGTTTTTATTCATGATATATGTCTTGACCTGTGGTTCTAGGCATACCTATTCATGTAATATGTCTAGAACAATTTTTCTAAATATACTTATCCATGTAATAAGTCTAGTCCAACTGTTATATGTATACGGTACCTATCCATGTAATAAATTTAGTCCAACTTTTATATGTATACGGTACCTATCCATGTAATAAGTCTAGACCAACTGTTCTTTTATTTTTAAATGTAGACTTACAGATTTTTTGCTTAGTGTGTAATGTGCTTCTTAGTTTAAAAAAATAAAAAATAAATAAATGTAGCATTAGAAAAAACATTGGCAGTGTAGTTTCCATGAAGTTCTATCTCTGAACTCATGTAACCGTTGACAGCAGATGTCAATAAATGTGGTTTCTGAACTAAACTTTCGCTTCATATTGAGCTGGAATAACCAGAATATGTGAGCAGAAATTCTTTATCACATGCAGTAGAACAAGCATTGTGTGTCTCTCTCTCCACTCACCATGGATGAAATACATTCACAAATACTAAGACATTTCTATTCAAACAAAAACTAATAAAAGTAAAATCTGATAACATGGTGAAACAAGAAAAACTCTGTAATCCTGCAACTTGTATTAAAAGGTTGAAGTGGTCACATAAAAAAAGTTTAAAGTTTCTTTTTTACAGTTATAGTCGGGAGACACATTTTTAATTATAACATCTCCCAAGCTTACCAGTGTTAGTGCTAATTTCATGAATGTTTTTCAGGCATTGTTTCTTTGGCACACACGACCAGCTTGTTTAAGACAAACCCTTATCTCAACATGTTACTGCTGTAATAATTTCACAGAACAAATGCCAAGCGTTGTGCTTAAGACTGGGAGGATACTTGCGTTGACAATAATTATAGTTTATAGCAGCATCCATTGGCCCCACCGATCATAGACATACTGGAAGTGGAAGACTGCCTGAGTTGAGGCCTCAGATTACTCATAAATTGAAATACAATGTTAATTTCTTCTCAAACTATAGCCAAGTGTTAAGAGGTAAATGATAAGAAAATGACTTTGACGTAATGTAGCACCAAAATAAAACCAATTTATTTTAATAATAATTTCTTTTGATAAAAGGTGTGTATCTTTTGAACTCACAAAACAATGACATGACATTGCTTTAACATATTTAATGAGCAATGGTGTGTACATAAAGAAATAAAACAAGTACTTCAAACCACCAACCAGCATTTTAGACCAAACAGCACCATTATATTATATGAGTGGTTATTAATAATAGCAAGTATTAAAGAACCTGTATGAGTATTCCATGTCTAACTATTGCAGTCTTAGAATTACAACATATAATTATTATGTATATATTTTATAGTTATATGCCTGGCATAAATTTTGATGTATTTTATTTTGTTACCGGTACTAAAAAAAGGTGAATTTTAAGAGGACACTTCCATACTCAGAAAATTTGTCTTCACATGTCTTCCAAACTGCATGTTGAATAAGTCATTACATAGTTTATGGGAAAAATAATTCAGTTGAAATCTTTTGTTTCCTTAATTTCTTTTTTTTCATAATCCCATGTATCGGTATAATGATTCCAAGCACCCAAAATATTTATGATTTTCAAACTTAAGGTGTTAAAATGACAGACAAATTTTAATGTTAGGTCCATTCAACAATAAGAAAATGCAGAAGAAACAAGTAAAATATTGATATAGTTAATTTCTGTTCAAAGGAATGTCCGATATCGATACTGCAGCATATTCTTACTTCAATGCGGTAGGTCAATAGGACCAATTGTTAAAAATAAAATAACATTATTAAAAAAAAATCATCATAATACTTTGTGAAAATCCTCCATGGTCATATTGATTTAATAGTTTTTGGAGCTGACATCCATAATGAATAAATTCTAAACGTACAACAAATTTTCCAGCTTTAAAAAAACAAAAATCGACTTAGGGGCCATTTATTAATGATGTCATGCAAATTTTGTAGATTTTTTACACCCCCCTCAAATATAACCTCACAAGCATCCGCACCCCGGCCCCATCGCTTAAACCCATAATCCCCTGGACACACATTGTGAAATAAAAATGACACTCTCAATGGCCCTTATTTAAATGTGCTACACATTTTTTTAACTCAATCAGATTTAGATGCATACAATTACAATAATTCATAGTGTACCAATGTCATTTCAATTAAATGTAAATTTAAAAAAATACTACTTAAAATAAATTGGTTCTGGCTGAAACAAGATTTGTAACTACACATTTCATATGATTTATCTGGGTTGAAACAAGATTTGTAGCTACACATTTAATTTGATTAATCTGAATTTTTTCACTTATAGTAATAGGTAAATAATTAATAGCAAAAAAATATTCATGTCTGTTAAATTTAGGATCTTAACATCAAAAATGTTGTTTGTATTTGTAGAAAGAAACAAATCAATTCTTGTCTAGACAGAATTGCTTGCAAGTACAGATCACTTGTACTACGGTACAAATATTGCATTTAAAAATCTAATATTTTAACTATTGTGCTGAACAAAAGTTAGTTGTAAGAAAGATAACATTTCACATTACAATAACTTAGGTAACCAGGAATAAAATATTTATTTAAATTCACCAGGAATCAAGACAATGTACACATTTGCATAAAATTGTACATTTCTCCAACTATGAATGATAGCTCTGTTGTTTGGACCCATATTCAACAAGAGAAATATTCCCCCTTCATGTACCGAACCAATATTCTCACTAAATAAATAATTTTATAAAATCATACCCACAGCACTTAACATAACCAGGCAATATATAGAGCACACAGTGCTATTCCACAAAAAAAACTTGCTTATACTCAAGTCTGGCAGAAAAATTGAGCTTACTACAGACCATAATATAGAGATCCATATTTGTTGAACTATATAATATAAATAAATAAATATGTTATCACTTTAAAAAAAATGAAATGCACAATTAAAATTCATGTGAAAATCAACTGACTTTTGCTAATGACAGTTTTTTGTAGGATTAAAGGAGATTATTGACTTTGAGTTGTTTGTTGTTTGCGAACAAATTGATACAATGGCATATTTGGCATGATTATTGTCATAGTTGGCATGATTGTTGTCATTTAAAATGTAATTTTAATCAGTCCTTATGTGTATCTCATTTAACAAAACCAAAACATGATACAGTAATTTAAGTAACATATAGCATGCTAGCTTTTCTGATGCTGTCACACGACTTTCCAGACCTATCACCATTTGGTTGCTTGAAAGTGCTGATATATATAAATTTATAAAAATTCAACCAGTCTGACACTGATTATTTTGATCTCTATTTATAGCAATTTAACACTTTGTATAACTTTTGACTCTTAATCTCAAACAATTGACATGTAAGCTGATTCAGGGATTGCACAAGGTAAGCTGATTCAGTGGTTCACATAATGTAAGCTCATTCAGGGGTTCTCACAATGTATGCTCATTCAGGGGTTCCTTGTACTAAGCAAATGTCCAGACTGTTTGGTGGTTATTTGAATATGTTGATTTGATCTGAATATGTTAACTATTGAGTTGTAGATATTCTAAAAGACAGCCCATGGCGCCAAAGTACCCCTGTAACAAAATGCAAGAAGATTAGAAAAGATAGACCAGAACTCATTAGGCTGCAGTAAACTATGACTAGCCTATTGGATTAGACTTATTCAAATTACATGACAACTCCAACACTGACTTAAACATTACTTTAAATACTACGTTTTTAAGCCTTGGCCGTATGGCTCAAACAAGGATAACCTACTTCATGTTGCAGGAAGAGTGCCTTGAGAGATCCATCAGACCAATAATCCATTGCATAAGACAGGAGCTTCATGGATATCTCATTTACTCTCAAAAAATTACCAACAAAAACAACACGTTCAATTTTCTGAGGAGAAAAAAGTTCAATATTCTTTTTAAAAAGTGATTATGTAAACAACAAATTTGAAATAGAGAAACCAATTCTCGAGTGGTTGGTTCAGTAGCTACCCTTTTTAAAATATTTATAACTGAAACAGTTCGGTTAAATATTATTAAAACACTAACTTAATTAGGATCAAATGAGGATATTCTCCAACTTTAAACTGATCAATTTTGAAGTATAAAAAAATTATCATTTTTAATAATTCAATGATTTTTTTCAAAGTGTTACTACAACTAATTTATTTTTTTACCATTCAATAAATAAAACAGGAAATTTATTTCCCAAATTTTAATCCTGGAACTACACTATATTCCCACCGGTATGACAACTATCGAATACTGCTACTAATTTTTAAACAAGCCCTGTCAGTTGATTAAAATATGACAGTATTGTTTTTATATTGCCGGCTGATAACATACTTCAACTTTTAACAAAACCGTGAAAATGACACCTGTGGGCAGTGTTTTGAACATACCTGTATATCCCATTTCATAATAAGCTAAAATGAATGTCTTGTGGTTTCTCCTGAGTTTTGTTACAAGCCCCACTACTGGGTGCTGGGTGGCCGAGCGGTCTAAACGGTCTCAAACCAAACAGCTGGTGGTCTGGAGTTCAATCCCCACCAAAAGCAAATCATCCCAAGCACCCCGGCATCTACCCTGAGCGATCGGAACCTGCCCAACCCATCTAAGAGAAGGCAAACTCTGAATTTAAACCAGGAGCCAGAATGATCAACAAATTGATCGTGGGCACCTCAAATATAAGAAGAAGAAGAAGAGGAGATCAGACTTACCTCCGTCTTGGCACACATCCTTGCTATAGAACCAATGTTATTGGTTAATGTGACCAGTGTTGCTCTGGCCAGGTCCTCTTTTCTGGCTGCATCTCTTTTCTCTTGACTGATCATCTGACCAAAACTGTTAGACCAATAAAGTGTTACAGATAACTGATCATCTGACCAAACTGTTAGACCAATAAAGTGTTACAGATAACTGATCATCTGTCCAAAACTGTTAGACCAATAAAGTGTTCCAGATAACTGATCATCTGACCAAAACTGTTAACCCAATAAAGTGTTGCAGATAACTGATCATCTGACCAAAACTGTTAGACCAATAAAGTGTTACAGATAACTGATCATCTGTCCAAAACTGTTAGACCAATAAAGTGTTACAGATAACTGATCATCTGTCCAAAACTGTTAGACCAATAAAGTGTTACAGATAACTGATCATCTGACCAAAACTGTTAGACCAATAAAGTGTTACAGATAACTGATCACCTGTCCAAAACTGTTAGACCAATAAAGTGTTCCAGATAACTGATCATCTGACCAAAACTGTTAGACCAATAAAGTGTTACAGATAACTGATCATCTGACCAAAACTGTTAGACCAATAAAGTGTTACAGATAACTGATCATCTGACCAAAACTGTTCATAACTGCAAATCTATAATATTGTATAGTGCAAGTAGAATCTTTATTTATTGAGAGAAAAGTTTAACATGTTGCATAAATGATTGACCAGGACAGATGGGAAGAACAGTCTCACCTGCATGCAACAGTGTCCCCCTTCAGGCCAAACTTGCCATAGTCACCACCGTAGATGTCTTTCACCAACTTGTCAATATTTCGACTGTCCCCTTGGGATGCTAGCCCGATGGCTTCCTCAAATGTTTCACAACCTGTCAACAGGCAGCAAAGACCTAGGAATGTTCCTCCACCTAAACTGTGGACAAACATTGGAACAGAATTGGACTCAGTGGTTCCCAAACTATGCTAAATAATAATATCTGGCCAAGCTATAATTCATAGTTCTCTCTCCCGGTAATCCTGTTTTTCCTGTTTGCATAGAGGTGGAATACTTGGCTGACATTGTTTGGTACGTTCATGACATTTGATCTGGGCAAGTTTTGATGATTAATAATGTGCTACAAGTTACAGGAAGCTGCACACTTACAACCAAGACCAAGACAATCATGTGATCTAAGAACAAGCCCAAACACTTTCAGTGTGGAACATTACTGGGAAGAAGTTCTTTCAGTGTCAAGTGCAGTTTAGAAATTAGATGATAAGTATAATAAATTTCATGAATAAAGTCATCTATAATAAAGAAACAAATCTGTATTATATATATCTAAGACTCGAGAAAAAAGAATTATATCATTATCCTTGTTTATTTCATTATTATTGTATGACCACGTTTCTCTTCATTGATAAGTTTTTGCAGGTTATTAAAAGATGAACATGAATCTGATCTACTTTGTAAATAATATTGTAAGACTTAACCAAGGTTTTCAATTTCCTTATTAAAAAAAAATTCCATGATTTTGCCAACCATAAATAATCAATGGGCTCAAAGTCTCAGCCACTGAACTTTAATAATTGATTTTGAAAAATGAATAATGCCTTCTGTGCTAAATTTAGAAACCCTTTATATGTAAATTGTTGACTTGGACAAGCTTCAGTGATTTCTAAAGACTCATCTGGCGCTTGCATTGCATTCATTTGATAAGTTAGCAAACATTATATCATACAAATCCTTTAAAAAATGTTTTTATTGTAAATGTAACATTTTAAAATACAATTGAATTAGCATCATGTGTACTTTGTGGCTGTTCGAATGTGGTAACATTTTGATCAACTAGTCAACTAGGTCACAGAAATCAACTACGGTCACAGAGACTTACAGTTGCATATTTTTTCAAAATCTCAGCTTTAATTTAAATCTTTTGCTGTACGATGAGTTAGATAGGATCAAATAGGTTCTAATGTTTAAGAAGACCAAGACCTTAAACATTCTACTCTTTTATACCTGGTACCAGAAACTCTGTTGTAGTCTGTTTTTGAGCGAACTGACAATATGCTGACCCCGGAGCCGATGTTGACGACAAGGTAAGGGTAAGGGTTGTGGAAGTTGAACGGCAGTTTGTCACAGCACTCTGTGTCTCGGGGATTGCTGAAGTAATAACATTCACAGGGATTGTGGCGGTCTATATGGTGAATGCCTTTAAGCAGACAATCCAATTCATCATACTTGTGAAGTTGGAGTAAAACTTCCTGCAAGTGTTTCAAAAGTGTTTCAATAAAAAAATTGTTTAGTATTTTAAATAGTAAATATAAAATTAATCAGCACAATTACAAATCTGACGAACAATAACATTTGGAGAATTAATACTCACAGAAATATATTTACTTTTTTTTTTTTTTTTTTACATATTAATGAAAAGGTATATAACATGAGAAACATATATAAAGCTTATACTGATTATGTGTTCAATTTCTTTAAATGTTAAAATTAAATAAAGCCGTTTTCTATAAATTCAATAAACATCCGCAGCTAACAAATAGGATTTTTGTATAAGAATGACCTACTTTGGCAAAGACTTCCTCAAACATGTAGGCTCCTCCTCCTGTAGCACAGATGCCGCTGGCTAATCCAGAGAAGTTTTTAAGTTTTGCCAGTTCAATAAAGGCAGACATTTGAGCAGTGGGGAACCTAATGAAGTGAATCTTGCCCGTCCTGCCACATATAGTCTGATTCCCCAGTTCTAAATGAACATCTCTTATTCCAGTTTTACCGTAAGCAGTGTTCCCGATGAGATATTTGTGAATTGTTTTCAATGTTTCACGTTCAGCGAAGTCAAATTCATCAAAATTAGCTGGTTCGAAGTAGACGAGTTTGGTGAGAGTTCCTCCAATGTCCATTCCAAAGAGTGGCATGGCTGTTGGGAAATAAAGCTCAGTTCATTCATTGGAAATCAAATTTAATTCATTTAAGATAATCAGAAACAAGGTTGTCGTGGTGATAAGATGTTACAGTGATAAAGACGTTATGGTGATTTCATGTTGATAGTGATGTCGTGTTGGTGGTGATGTCAAGGTGATAAAGATGACATGTTGATAGTGATGGCATGTTGATAGTGATTTCATGCTGCTCATTTCTGATTAATCAAACGTTGATCAATGCCATGGAAGCTAGTGGTTTGTGCAATCTAATTTGTAATAAAGAGGTCTAAAATATACACAAAACAAAGTATGCTAAAGGTAGGTACCACAAACTGGCTTAAAAATTAGTTTTTTGTCTCAAGTTCTCTATTTGGTAGCTATTCACTTAATGTTTTCTAGCATTAAAATGGTCGTATACTAATCAAAATGGTACCATTAAAAAGTATATTTTCTAAGCCTTCTAATTCTGTGTAATTTTCTTTGTTGTTGACATAACCAAATAGATTACATTTGTTGCATGAAAACCATCACAATGATTCTTTTTATCGACTGTCAACCAATTAATTTTTTTTTACGGTAGCCAATACTAAAGGCTTATTAGGTAAGTAAAATCATTAAAAACATGTAATTATGTAGTGTAAAACTTTGTCAGTTATGTTTTACTTGTTTATTGCTATGTGAATTCTGTATTATCGTAGATATAATGACGTTGACTTTGTCACGCATTGAAATCATTTTTGGCTTTTGTCAGATGAAGTTAAAAAAATACCCCCCACCCCTTTCTCTATTTTTTTCTGAATACTCAATTAAAAATGTTCTTGTCTTTTCTGAAAGAGGGTAATTTGAAAATAACTGACAACTAATTTTTATAGCTTGTAAATGATATTATCAGCTTCAATTTTCATAAATATAAAAGGTCGCGTGATCGTAATTTTGTTAGCAATGTAAACAAACAATGAATGTTTTAAAAGTAGAAAAACTCGTAAAGTTACGGGATGGTTTTGTTGACATATATACAGACCATTAACAAAGAAATACACTATTTGTAGCTTAAAGTAATTTCTATTAATTATCATTTATAATACCGGTATGTTTAATTTTGTTAGATGGTGAACAATGCACTGCTCTACTCTAGAGAGGACTTTTCTGGCTAGTGGGAAAGGAAGAAGGCCATAATTGCCTACCCAGGTCATCACCAAGAAATTACTTCTTCAACTCCATGTTTTGAAAGAGGAAAATAACAAGTCATGGGAGCAGGTAACTATAAGCCTAATAATAGATTGCAATGAAATAAACATATCTTGTCTTGTAATCTACCTGTCTTAGTCTTGCATTGGATGAATCATGTGATATCAGTGACACAGTCCAAACTATTTTTTGGGTTGGATTTGACACGGAAGATCGATTTAAAGAAGAATTATTGGCACTAATACTATTGAAAAATACAACCCGTGGGGTGGGTGTATATAAGGCACAGAAGGAATTTCTATTAAAGAATAGTATTGATTTGAAGAAATTTATTTCAGTTACAACAGATGGTGCTCCAGAAATGGTAGGAAGGAGAGTTGGTCTGATTGGTTTGCTGATGGCTGACAATGATTTTCCAGACATTCAAGTGTATCATTGTATAATTTATCAGCTCAAAGATGATACACTGCAAAATGTCATGGATAGTGTAGTGAAAATTGCAAAAGAGACGCAGCAAAAGAATTCTATTGCTGCCTCTCGGATACTACTTTTCAGCTAAGTGCTAGTTTTTAAATTTAATTGTTTTTTCTGTTGTTTTCAAAAATGTGAAGAAACACCATTTTTATTAGATTAAAATTTAAAGAATTAATTATGTTTGACTTTAATTGAGTCTGTGCTGGGTGAGTTTAATTGATTTACTTGTACAGATATAACCTTATGAAGATGGCCCTTCTGATGGTGGCAAAGACAAATTATGTCAAAATACAAAGATTTTTAAAAATGCATAACTTTTTAAAATCATTCAGTTATATGAACAAGTTTGATATCCATGTTCTTAGAATCATGAATTCTTGACATAACACTTGTACCAGTATAAAATATAGCTATAAGACTGTTTTGAAAAATCATTTTGACGTACCTAATAAAGGTGTCTAAAATATACAGAATAAATCAAAGGATGATAAAGATGTACAAATGTAAACAATACAAAGTATATTAAGATGTCTAAATGATCATAAGATAATGAATAAAAGGAACTAAGGCTTTGCTATATGTCTACCATTGGAATCAAGGTCTGTACAAGAATTGTTCACCATTTAACCATAGACAAAACTGAAATAATCTACAATAACTTACCCAGTCTACCCTGTATATCATTAAAAGAATCAGGGCTTCCATTGCGATGTCCGTTAACCAGACTGCTATGATGAGAATCATTCTTGACGATTGCTGCACTATCCTCCTCAATGCTCACATCAGATGAGTTGCCATTGACAAGAGGGAAGTCCATGCTTGGATTAAATTGAACCTATTCAATAGATGCCGATAAACTAGTTCTACTTCCTCTTACATTTTCAAACCTGTCAATTGTTAATAGTTGAAAATAATTATGGTAATGTGTTAAAATACTGGTTATGATTCATTAAAACAGGATCAATTATGTAACACATCATGAACAAGATAGAATAGATATAAATTCAACTAAACAACTTTTAACAAAAATATTTTCAAGGAACACATATAATAGATATTTAAATGAATGTGGATGCTAATTTTACCTTCCCTAGCTCTATTTTTCCCTCTTCTAAGAAATAAAAACTATGTTATTTATATTTTGCTTAGTATTTGGCATAGTATCTTTTATCTTATAACCTGTTTTGTCTTAGAACTCCATGCACTGATACATATAATTTTTATAGTGAAGTGCTTTGTCTTAGAACTCCATGCACTGATACATATAATTTTTACAGTGAAGTGCTTTGTCTTAGAACTATATGCACTGATACATATAACATTTAGCTGTATGGACTTTCTTTAAGAGATAAGAAAAAAATCTGTCTTCATTCAGGTAGTTCAAAGTTCAGATAACAGATAACAATCCAACCTAGGGAGAAATCTTCAGATAAAATCAAGGTCAAATGATTGAGTTTTGCCTTTAAGATTTCACCTGAAAACTCACAAGTTATGTCAAATTTTAAAATAAGTTGGAAACCAGATAAATCAAGTGTACTATGATTCCAAGCTTAAAATTGTCCTTATGGTAAAATTACTAATTAAATTAGTATTAAGAAAAGATATAATTTTAATCTGCAGAGGATATACATCTACATACATATACTTCTACAACAACACAGACACATTTCTTCCTAGTTATACTCTATACCATAAGTAAGCAAAAAATACATTTACATTTTTCTTGATAATGATATGTTAATATAGACGAATAACCGTGACAAAAGAAGCATACAGAGTCAGCCTATTATACTTCTGAATACTAAGTTGTAATTTGTCACAGCTAAACAAAATTGTGGGTGGGACACTATGGGATCATTTTATTGCCATTTACTTGTTTGAAGGAATGTTCCAATGATAAATATTTGTATGATTATTGTATTCATTGTGAACTTAAGTTTAATGTCCAACTTTACAGTGTCTAACTAACACTCACAGAGAGAGATTATGCTTAGATTGTTATTGCTCCTCAGTACCTGCATGTAAGCTGTGAGCTTAGAGAGAGATTATGCTTAGATTGTTATTGCTCCTCAGTACCTGCATGTAAGCTGTGAGCTTAGAGAGAGATTATGCTTAGATTGTTATTGCTCCTCAGTACTCAGTACCTGCATGTAAGCTGTGAGCTTAGAGAGAGTTTATGCTTAGATTGTTATTGCTCCTCAGTACCTGCATGTAAGCTGTGAGCTTAGAGAGAGATTATGCTTAGATTGTTATTGCTCCTCAGTACCTGCATATAAGCTGTGAGCTTTTTGATATTTTGTTGAAATGAAGGTGGTATATAATTTTTGTGTGCAACTTTGGGACAGAAAAATTTAAGGCTTCATAACACTCTAGTCATATTTATAAACACTTGAGTGACATTTATGAACACTTTATTCATATTTATTGTTACAAGTTACTAAGTGAAGTTCATATTAGTTTATTCAATTCCCTACAAGAATATAATAATAATAATACTAAAATTTATTTCAAAAACACGCTTCATCCCCAAAGGCTCAAAGCGCCTTTACACAACTAAATTTGTATCTAACTTTTATTTCTATCCAAATATCAGTAGGGGGAATTAAGAGGAAAAAAAATTATAAAAATCACAAAATTATTGTTCTTAAGGATATTTTGAATAAATGAACTTTAAAGATATACTCAGTTCTTCATCGATTTCTTTCTTGATTTGTGAAAATGACTTGTTTTAACCATAATTTGGGATTTAAAGAAGGAAGTATTCCTCGCATATCATAAAAATAAATATTGCTCATCATACGTGACTTTTTTTGTGAGATGCTTTGTATACTGCAATTCTAATGACAATTTGCAACAAGTTTCTTGAAAAATATTTTTATTTTATACAAAATGATTTAGAGAATGCCAAAAGATGGTCACAAGTTTTGGCATAATATTCAAAAGTTGAGTATCTTTATAAGTCATAAACTTCACAAAAAATTCATAACTCAGCTTCTTATAACGATAGAAGCATTTTTTCTTTTGAGAGCTTACAGCTAGCCCTTAAAAATGGTGTGCCCTCTTGTTGCAACATGACACGATTGAACTGTTTAGTCAAAGGACAATTAAACTATAATATTGATAGCAGGTCTAGGCTAGATTATGCTATTTTTTTAAAAAATTATATCATAAGGCTAGGCCATGTCAGCAATCGTTTGGTATTATTGTGCCAGAGTTGGATTTCTAATTCGTTCTGCCAGCCAACAACCTAGAAGTCTACTTGATGAAACATTTATTTAATCATTTTGTTATTAATTTTTCTGTCTATCTGCTTACAACGTCTGCCATATGTCGCATAGGTTTCTGACCCCTGGGCTAGACTATTACAAAATAATATGTCTGTGTTGCCAGGTTGTGAGTATATAAAATAAATTTAATAATACAGTTGTTGACTTTTTTGGGAAATATTTGAGGGGAAAAAGTGGGGTTATGAGCGGGTGATAGGATATTTTTATAATTTTCTCCAGGTATATAGATTCTATTATTCATTGAAAACAATTAAGAACAAATTATTTAAAGGAAATCATCATTAAACCCAAGTGCAAAATTGGCTGTGTGCATTTTTTTCTAATGAAATTAAAATGAATAATTTTCAACATACCAACAAAGCTCAAATTTTGCATGGAGCTGCAAACAATTTTTGGTATGTAGTGTAGGCCTTATTTATCAATATGGACCTTACTTATTAAGGTAATCTACCACTTCAGCATTGGCTATTTGAAAATCGTGTTTTTGGGGTCTCATGCACTATTTTACGGGAAAAACCACCGTCGATAGCTAGCATTGAAAGAGGTGGTGGGCGCTGTTTTCTTGTTGAAAAGCCAGACCAGTGTGAGATCACTTTACAGGAGCTCATAAAGAGATATATTCTATCAGGTTCACATAATGTCACCAACGGATGGGCGCGCTTATGGAAACATAAATCAGATCAGATACTATTTCTACAAACACTCTGTTGTGTTCCATCAACAAAACTTTATTGATCATTGATTCAAATTTCTCTATCACTGGTATCCACATGCAGAATTTGTAGAAAATTTGTGGATGTGCGCAAACAGAAAAGACAGTAGTCTTATCACTACTTATACTTATGCCTATGCTGCTCTAAGCCATTCATCGTTACCCTAGGCCTGGGAAACATGATAACTGTCATAAACATAAACTCAAGCTCTTTTGACTTTGATTTGATTAAGTTTACATATTTAATATTACATTAAAAATATTCTTTTCATTTACATTAATCATTAAATTAAATAAATTGTTTAAATTGATCTAGTTTAAATTTAAAAATGTTGTCATGTTCATCTAAGTGCTGAAATTAATATGTAGCCTACATCACATGTAATGAAAAAAATAATCATTTCCATTTATATTATATGGATTAATAAAAGAATCTTATCTGGCTTATCACTGACTAATCAATAACAATAAATAACATGATTATCAAGACCAAGATCTGATGATCATGAGTAATTACACAGTGCCACAGAGTATGATACTATAATGTAGTAATTAGTAATAAATATTTAGTATAACTATTACTATTACTATACATTATACTATAAATAAATACTACGAACTCATGAGTAGAACTACTAAAACGGGACGAATAGTTATTCATCTAAAAAAAAAAATCTCTATTTTTGAATAGCAAACGCTAAAGTGATAGATTATTTAAATAAAAGTCAGAGAACGTTTTCCTGAAATAAATGTATTTTGGTGACTGTGTTTTTACCTTTTTCTGTGAAATATATTGCGAAACATTCCATGGCTTCATCTAACTGTAGTCGTACGATACAATCCAACCCACTAATCAACAACTATGAATAATATACAGTCTTTTGCCTTAAAAAATTCTCCAACACTATGAAGTATGCCAGGTAATTTTTACCTCTCCCCTTTAAAATACTAGACCGGTACTTTTTGCAATTTACACATAATATGGGAAACATTTGATAGTCGTGTTTTTGTAAATTAAAAAAAATAATAATAAATTTAAAAGGTTAAGTTAACAAACGAATTAATACGATTTCATTTTCTCAACTTGTAAAAAAAAAAATCTCAGGCACTTGAAAAAATTGCAAGAATATGACCAGACTAGTGAAGATTACAAGGCAATAAATTATTCTCTTAATCTTTACAGGATAATATTCAACATATTATGGAACAGCCCGTGTAGTGAGTCATAGCTGACAGTTTTACATATAATTATTTCAGGTCCTGGGAAATATATCCTTTTATTTGTTCTTAGAAGGTTGTGTAAAAAGGAGTGGTAGAAGTAGAAGAAAAAACCTAGGGGGTAAAAAAATGACCAAAAAAAAAGCTTCAAATAGTGGCACTAGTGGGCAGTGGGTAAAATTGACAATCTTTGGAGACTCAAACTTGAATGAAAGATTTTTAAAACCCGTACCAAACCCCGAAGACACATGTGTGTCCAAAACCCCAAAGACTTATGTGTGTCTATTTACATTTAGTCTCGGCTATCTAAGATACACTTTTATATTTATATAAGTTAAATGGTCTTGAGATATAGTAAATAGAAGGGGCTGGGAACCCACACGGATGAATGTGAAAACGCTCTTAATTGCTTAATATTACAATATCCTCTAAATATTTAGACTTAAAAATCTACAAATGTAGGCCTATAGGCCTAGTCTATAGTGAATAAAATCCCCTTTCCGGCAAGATATAATTTATAGCATATACCCTACGGTTCGCGAGGAATAAATTATTGAACATACAAAAATCACAACTTGCGATTCCCAATCCAAGCCTGGTCTAACAACGGTGGGCAGAGAAGCAGTTCGCGAGATGTTGTGTAAGCCTGAACCCTAATCCAAATCCCACGACGGTATTGGGCGGTGAACATGGGCGCCCGCAGGTAGGGGCAAGGGGGGGGGGTACATGCCCCCCACCCTCCCTAGATTGATTGGATACAAACATTTTAGACAAAAATAGACACAAAATTAATTAAAGTAAAGAGAAAATAAAGAGAAAGTAACTAAGCTGATGTCCTGTCCGTTCGTTCACCATACAAAAAATAAAACTATATTAAAACATTACTAAATTTTTTTGGCCCCCCCCCCTGGAAAGTTAATCCATTTTTTCACATTTTTTTTGCCCCCCCCCCCCGGAAATTTTATCCCTTTTTTCCCCCCCCCCCCCCCCCCTAGAAAGTTTTCTGCGGGCGCCCATGGCGGTGAACCGTCTGTTTCGTGGCATACAATGCCACCCTTAATTATTTATTTGATTAAAATTCGAAAACAAAGGCAGAATATGTAATGAATGTGGTAAATTGTATATGTAGATGAAAAAGTGCTAATTTGTGTAGCGCTCGCTCAAGACTAACCAGAGAGGCATAGCTAGGGAGCTGCCCTGGGTGATACAAGATTTATGCCGTCCCCTGGCACGAAAAACTCTTCTTACTTTGGTCGAAAATGCTGCCCCTAAACTCAATGTAATTAATACTGACCCCCTTCTACGCCACCGAAACTGACTCAAATACAAGAGGATGGTGCCACAAGATTGCTTGACACAAGAATCGAGTGCCTCAAGAACCGGGTACCATCAGAACATCGAGTGTTTCTTTTTCTTCTCCATAACTTCTACCATTAGTGCCGTATCTTAATTTTTTCTGACGTCATAAGTGGGTCATGATTGTGCAGCGTTCACTTCAGACTAACATAAACCCATATGTCGTATGTCGTATGCCGTCTGTCGTATGCCGTATGTCGTATGCCGTATGTCGTATGTCGTATGGCGTATGTCGTATGTCGTATGGCGTATGTCGTATGTCGTATGCCGTATGTCGTATGTCGTATGTCGTCTGTAGACTGTAGATTGTAGACTGTAGAATGTAGACTGTAGACTGTAGATTGTAGACTGTAGACTGTAGAATGTAGACTGTAGACTGTAGATTGTAGACTGTAGACTGTAGATTGTAGACTGTAGACTAGATTGTAGACTGTAGACTGTAGACTGTAGACTGTAGACTCATTTTATGTTGGGTTTTTTAAATATTTTATTTAATTGCAAAATTTGAAGGAGTCCCTCGTCGATAGCTTATAATAATAATTGTCATTGCTGTATATGTCAAATCTTTTTGCCACCGGACAGGGCCGGATTAAGGAGGGTGCTATTGATGTTTCTGCATTATTAGGCCTATTCCTGAAATAGGCCTAGATGGAGGGGAAAAAAAGAGAATTTTCCCTGAAGCTGAACAGGTTTCTTTTGCTATATTAACATCAAACTAATTCTTAGAATGACATGTGGACTCGAACCTTCAGACTTCAGACGACTAGACACCACGTTACCTTTTATTCAGTTAGGCCCAATTTATTCTTCATGCTGTGACGTAAGCATCACGCCTTGAGATAGAGAGCGGCACTTTTGAAGGAGCATCAAATTTCACAGAGAAAATATCCTATTTCTAAACAAAATTATGTGGGGGGGGGTGGGGGTGGGGGTGTTGAAAATAAGAGAACCACAAGCAGACTGACGTGCTGGTAATGGACTTCGCAGTGGCATTTGACCGTGTGAATCATAGTTTGCTTCTACACAAACTCCAGAGCTATGGGATTCAAGGCACCACTAAAACATAGATCTCTAGCTTCCTCAGCCACCGATGCCAAGCAGTAGTGGTGGACGGTACAAGCTCCTCCTTTGTCGATGTGAAGTCAGGGGTCCCTCAGGGATCAGTGCTGGGCCCCTGTTTGTTCCTAGCATACATTAATGACCTACCTGAGAAACTGACATCACAAGCAGGACTGTTCGCAGATTACACAGTGGTGTATAGGACGATCGCCAACAGATCTGACCAGGACCGGCTACAACAGGATCTCAATCTGTTAGCTGAGTGGGAGATGAGCTGGAACATGGAATTTCACCCTGCCAAGTGCCAGACACTATCAATCTCTAGAAGTTGCACTCCTCTACACTACCAATACGAACTGCACGGTCATATTCTTGAGCACGTTTCCTCCGTAAAGTACCTGGGTGTTACCATTCAAAGAGAGGTCCACTGGGACGAGCATATTAACAATGTATGTAACCAAGCAAACAAGACCCTGGGGTTCTTAAGGCGAAATCTAAAGATTGGCAACTCCTGTGTGAAAGAAAGAGCATATAAAGCCTTTATCCGTCCGATTTTAGATTATGCATCTTCAGTCTGGGACCCATTTACCCAGAAGAGCATTGACAGGTTGGAGGCGGTCCAGCGACGAGCAGCACGCTTTGTCCTAAACCGATACAGGAATACCTCTAGTGTTGGCAGCATGCTAGAAAAACTAGGCTGGTCACCATTGGAGAAACGACGACGACAATCCAGGCTCTGCATGATGTACAAGATAAATAATGGGCTGGTCCACTGTTCCAGTATTAAACAGAAACTCGTCCCTCTCCCCCATAGACAGCGACGAGGCCATGACAGGCAATTCAGGCTCATACCAGCAAGAAGCCAGAATTCCTGCCCAAGACAATCAGGGACTGGAACCATCTTTCAAAAGGAACAGTTGAGGCGACAACACTAGACACATTTGTGTCTATTGCCTCAAGCCTTCAAACCCCTAGTGCATGATTCCCTCACAAAGTGGCAATGGAAATCAGTGAAATTCAGTGGCGTAGCGAGGATGTTCGGTGCCCGGGGACAAGATTCGCGCCCGGGGACAAGATCCATTTTAAAGCGCCCCTTTTTCTTTTTTTCAAATCTCAAACCCATTTTTTACCAATAATATAATATGAAATCACATTTTGGCGCCCCTAACTAGCTTGCGCCCGGGGACATCTGTCCCCCCCTGCCCCCCCCCCATCGCTACGCCTCTGGTGAAATTTCCTCATCAACACCAGGAACAGAAACATTGCAAATCCCATCTACATGCATAGGAGCCAAAATGATCAATAAATTGATCTTGGGCCCTTAAGATATAGAAGAAGAAGAAAAAAAAATTATATGACGTACCTTCACTCACTTAATTGTAACTATTTAGTAAATTTAGAAGATTAAGTGCATCCTTAATGTACGAATATAATGTTCAAAAGTGACGACAGAAAATTGAATTTGTTAAGTTTAGTGTTGAGTTAAATTTATCGCATTAATATGTACCGGTATTCAAATGTCAGGATGGTACAATGGTGTTCAGTCAAACATGAACTCAGAATGTTAATGCGCCGCTTTTTATTTCATCCTGTATCCACATGCAGCCTAAGCCTGGTAGGAGATCAGGCTGTTGAAAGCTGTTGTGGCTGTCTGTACCAGGTTTTGTTATTTTGTCAATGAACTACGTTTCCATGTCTGACTCAACATAGCACTGGCATCAAGCCAGCAACTAAGTGTCTGACTCAACATAGCACTGGCAGCAAGCCAGCAACTAAGTGTCTGACTCAACATAGCTCTGACAGCAAGCCAGCAACTAAGTGTCTGACTCAACATAGCACTGGCAGCAAGCCGGCAACTAACGAATATTTCCACTCCGACACCCAGTGGCTTGTCTGGAACACGATGGTGTGGATGTGAAGATTAGAGACCGACCAAATTCGGCTTCGGTTTCGGCGCCGAAAGTGGCCATTTTATCACTTTCGGCCAAGTTTCGGTTTCGGCAGAAACTGAAAGTTAAATTTCGGCTTAATTTCGGTTTCGGCCGAAAGAGAAAAGTTAACTTTCGTTTTTTTTCGGTGTCGGCCGAAATCGACTTTGACTTTCGGCCATCCAGCCGAAAGTGACTGAGGTTTTCGGTCATCTAATACTCAGCGAAAGCGATATTTAACAACAAACTAAGTGACATTTAAGAACAAACTAAGCGATTT